GTAGATACGAAATTGTATTATGAGTATATTTTAGTATCTTTGCGCCGAACAAATATTACCACTCAACTTCCCGAATCTTCCAAGAACACGATTTCGGGCAGTTCGTCAGTGTTTCATCAGGTGTATGGCTCTAAGGGGCCTTCTAAGTCACCCCCCTTCCCTAAGAAAAAGGGGGAAACAAATTGAAAACAGTTTTTGCTCTCCAACGTAGTCGCAACGGCACAACAACAACACAAGCAGGCGTACCCCACCGCGAGATTCAAAGACGGGACTCCGCGGGAGAGTCTCGCCGAAACCCGGAGATGCGTGCCGGAGTGGCGGGATCTGTCGAGAACTAGACTCGCTGCTCGCGCTTTAAATTTAGCGCGTGGTCGGGCGACTGTTTTTGGTCAAAGCACTCCCGCGTCGTGCTGATAAATAAAGTTCCGGACGCCGGCGTCGTCGCTTGGCGGGGGTCGTGCCCGCGGTTTCGCCGTCTCCGCCCAGTGTCTGTTGTTGCTATGGCCGTCCGGATGATCGCAGCAGCCTGGTGGTGTCCCCCGCTTGTCCGGAGGCAGGACTGTCCCTGGCTTCATCTGGTCCTCTGTCTCGTCCTGCTCAACGCAGTGGCCGTTCTCGTCTGTGCATAAGTCCATTTTGGTGTTGGCATGATCTTAGTGTATCCCCCTCCACCCACTTTTTTTTTTTTCCTGCATTCTCGATAACTATTTCATTACGAAGAATATAAGGCACGAATTCTAAAATAACACGCTGAAGGCTTTTTTTTTTTTTTTTTTACTCGCGCATTAATAATAACATTTCGTTGTGTCTGTCACAGCAGGAAGTTAGTCAGCCTCAGAGAAGTCTCGTGCCTCTGCTGTAGATGAAAAATTTCGCTAGTGCAGTACGACTGCTAGCCCGGCGTCGATCTTTAACGTGTGTCACGCGGCTACATTTGGCTACGCTGCGTCACTTCCGTCCGTGCTCCGTACCCGTGCTTCGTACGTAGCACGGCTCGCCGTCGTAAAAGGCTACCTCTCGAAGGGACCGACTACACTTTGTTTTACCTTAGCTTGGACCGCAGAGAACGCTACGAGCGTCACGCGACCCTCGGGCGGAGCAGGCTACCGCCCATGGTTTCTTGGCTAGGGGGAGCGAGCTACCGCCCATTGTAAAGGACGGCCATTAGCGTCCATCCGTCCAGCAGTGAATTGGCTGGAATGGCTCGTGTAACGTCTGGGGAAGCGCGTGCTGCAGCGAGCTTTCGGATCGCCGTTTTATTAGGCACGAAGGAAATTGCTTATAATTTAATAAATTCAAAGGTATTTGCAATTGGAAAAATAGGTGGGTGCATGCGGACCAATCACAGTTCCAACTACCGGGCCCATAGCCTCACAAAGGGCCCCTGGTCCTTTGTGAGGTATATATAATCGGAGATTTGTGTTTGTCCTTTGTCCCTCTTGTTCCCCTTCTCCAGGGATTATTTTCATCATTCTTGTCCAGCTCGCTTGCACCTTTGCATTTAATTGCATTCTAATAATAACACTGAAACATTTTGTGGAGCTAATTAATTTCATTGACTGAGTTTAGCGTACAAAATTTAAATTAATTCTATAAAAAAAAAAAACACGTTCGCAAGTAACGTGCATAAATAATTTCCAGCATTTAAGCTTCAATAGCTTTTTTACTTTATTTTCGCCGGCTCTATACTTTGCGAATTCGGCAAACCGTGGTTTTTCTGGAATATTTTGCGGGAACGAAATTTCACGATTAGGGTGGCATGACATTTATTTGTTTCCGTAGGAAAATTATATTTGCGGGTTCTATTTTATTGCGATATTATTGAAGTCGCGAAAATTAAGTCGTTTACAGTATGCTAATTTTAAGAGGAAGTTCACCTCATTACAGGCAATTATTATTTATTCGCACATAAATACAGAGGTGATGATGATGATGCCCTGTAAAATATGTATCCTTTAAACCGATCGGGCCCCTCTGTCTGAAGCAGTTGTCTGAAATGCGTATAGTTCTTCCCACGAAACACAAATGCATGGAAAACGAAAGCAAACAAACAAGCGGACAGCTCCACAAGAAGACTCGATGCAAGCAACGGTGGTTGATGAGTCAGCGGATTCCAAGAGGAGGTCATTGCGACGTTCCCGCCCACACTTGACAGGCACTGTCGCAAGGATGAGCCGCCTTCAAAATAGAGCGCGTTTGTTGTTTATTGCGGGCCGCACAACTGTACTCGCACTAATTATCTTGTCGCTACGCGGACTCACTAGCTGACACGCTTTTTTAGTGTGTCAACGATGTTGTTGTTGTTGCTGCCCAGCTTTACCATATCGCTTCCCTAGATGACGACCCAAATATCATTTCGCCAGCGAAGGCACGTCTTGTCTATCGATGGGACCTTGGCCAAGCTGCAGCTGCGCTTCCTGCAACCCGCATTTCACCCTCCATTACGCAAAAGGGGTTCGGGCAGCGTAGATTTCTTTGACGATATTTTTGTGCGGAAGTTTTATACTGATGATAAGACGTGTCCGCATGCGTGTTGTGGGAATGATGCTGTTAAAAGCTGTATATATAGACATAAAAAGTTAAGGAAACTTTAGTTTTTGGCTGATTTGACCTTTGTATATTGTCTGCCTTGTATGTGCCACTTCTTTTTGTGGTGTTCATATGACCCGGCTAACGAATAAATAAATAAATAGATACACGTTATATCTCCCTTGCCGCTATTTGTAGTGGTGGGACAAGACGCATCGGCTCAATAAATTATACTCTTCGAAAGCAGAGGACGCCACTAAAACGCCATCGCGGACGGCACTATTTTTGAAGCAGACGACGGTACCAAAATGTTGAAGCAGACGACACGCGCAAAATTATATTTTATGCAAGCCGAAAATGCTATACCAAAATGCCGTAGCAGACGAAACACGGAGACGAACGCGAAACAGACGGAGCCACCAAAATGTCGTAGCAGACGACATGCGCAAAGCAGACGAATAAATATTTTATGAAAGCATACTAAAGTGCTGTAGCAGACGACACGCGCAAAGCGGATTCGAACGTTAGTCCGGAGATTCACGCAAATGCAACCGGCTAAAATGCAATTTGAGACGGTAGACGAGAGAACGCATCAACCGACTGCGTAACAGAGCGGGCATGTAGCTGCAAAATGCATCTACGGAGAGCGCGCGCCAAAGCAGACGACAAGACGCGGACAATGGTAGCGCGTCCGTTACGACATCCGTGACAGAATGGATACCCTGACCTTGTGCGGGGGGCTTTTCCCTTTTGTAGTCGCATGCGTTGCGACTTGGCAACTGCCCGAGTGGGATGTCAGACGCTTTCGCAAACTGTCCACGCGCCCGCTGCTGTTTACAAACAGATGATGTCATGCTAGCGGCGCGTGCTCGGCCTAGCAAAGCATAGCGCAGAACTGCACTCACTGGGTCCTGACTCAACTTTCTGAGAATGCGATGACTGCTCACCTGCGTGTTTTGTCACAAATAACTTGTTTACATCTGAACAAGAAAGGCCAGCTTCGACAAGCTGTGTTGCTTTGTTAAAAAAAAAAAAAAAAAAAAAAAAATTAGCTTTAAATTACGACCATATGTTATTCCAGCTGAAAGCACTGCCGTCCATCTTTTGCTTGAAATCTATTAGGTCTTCTGCTGACTTTGCTTAAATTTTGTGCAGGCACATGATTTAGCACCTAAATTTTCACAGTAAAGCAAAGTTTACAAGAGCTTCATCTGATTTTGTGTGTGTCTGATGGACCTTTTGTCATGTAAAGGTCAGTTTCTGCCACAGCATTTAAAAACTATTCTCAGTTTTGTGGTGTTGCCACTCGCAAAGAAGGCTATGAATTGTTACCTTAGGATTTTTGATTGGGACTAGTAAAACAGCAATTGAATGCAAGCCATGTAGATACATTTTACTCAGCTTCACAACTACAATTTCACAAGCGACCGTTTTCTTAATTCTATTTCTTTCTGCAACATACGGTTCAAAGAGACAGATGTAACCCTTCAATTAGAAACTCGCTTAGAGGTAAAAGCTTGGTCTGCTGGGCAAGTTGGTAGTGGACATTCATATTAAAAATAGCGCAAAAGAGACACACCAAAAAGACGAAGAAGCACATAGGACAAGCGCTAAGCGCTTGTCCTGTGGGCTTCTTCGTCTTTTCGTCCCGTCTCTTTTGCGCTATTTTTAATATGAATGTCATTTACAGATCTCCAGCAGTGTACGCTTCATCACTTTCCTATAATTCTGGAACCATCCAGGCCCTACCTATAAGTAGTGTTTCGTGTTTTCTGATAAATCCAAAGAAATATGAAAAACACTCGCCGGAAAATTTTTCCTCAGTTCATATTTATCTGAAAAACTGAATTTCGGTCTTAACGACAAAATGAAAAGCAAAAAAAGGCAGTGTTTTACAAATAAAGTTTGTAAGGGCACTAGGTCAGTGTCAGTGGTCCTGAGGAGATGCATGTCTTTAGTTTCCTTTGAAATCTCAAACTACTGACAAAAGGGATTTGCCTGTTAGCTTGCCAAGGTTCCTCCAGGACTACAAGTCATGGTACCTGGACTTTATTTCGTTCTTGAATTTTTAAAAATTTAGAACACACTACTTTGAATTTGAGAATTGGAAATCTAACAAAAATAAAATCTGATTAACCCCTAATTTTTAGCAAAAAATAAACACAGAAAAACACCCTCTTCACTTCACGACGAAAACACGCAACCCTACCTATAAGCAAAGCTTTTCTCTATAACCCCTCCCCCTCCTTCCCTTCTTTCCTTTCCCCAATGTCCCGTTTTCTACTCTAAGGATTATGATCATCGCACCCATACTCTGATCACCATTATTATAGGGCATACCTTCGGAAGTTATGACGAGGGCGATAGCCGTGGGTAGCTATGGGTTGCCTTGAGCCCGTCCAGCGTGATTTGTTATGACCTTGCGAGTTCAGGAATCTTCCTGACGCCGTCGTCACTCTCTTTTGACTTAGGTGGTCATGGCACGCGGCGACCAGCCCCGAGAAAAGAAGCGGACTTTCCTGCCGTTCCGCTGGCTCATGTCTCGGTCCAGGGACAAGAAACCCGCCGCATCGGTCGTGCCCGCCAACGGCAACGGCGCCCCGACCATACCAAAGTCCCACACCTACTCCGGAGGCACGGCGACGTGCCCCAGGGGTACGCAGCGGTCGCTCAGCGTCTGCGAGATGGGCAACAATGGTGGCACCGGAGGCGACGTGGTGGGCAGTCAGCGCCCTCTCCTGGCGCTGTGCAGACTCTGCCTGGCCATCGTGCCGTCGCCCGCTCTCTACAGGGTGGCTGGCTGCGGGTGCTACTTCTGCCTCCAGGTATGGAGAAACGTCGGTCATTTGATAGGCACAGCTACATGTCTGTTGTTCGACAGGCACATACAAATTTCCATCATTCGACAGGTACAAAGAAATGTCCGCCATTTGGCAAGTACGGCGAAATGTCCTTCATTTGATAAGTACAGAGAAACGTCTTTCGTTTGACAGTTTTTGGTTGCAATGATTGCAAGGGTAGCTAGGTAGCTAGAGATGCAACATGAAAGCTTATTGCAGTGTGATCATGGATGGACATATAATCGTGTTGCTGCATAGACCGGCAGGAGCAGTGAAACTGCCGTCATAGAGGCTGGCTGTTAGAGGAAGTATTCCATTTCATGTCGTGCAGTAAGAAGTTTCACTGACCACTGCCACTGAATCATGAGTAAAGCTGTACGCACTACGTAGTGCACTTCAGACGGAAATGGCTATATGCACTACGCGGAGAGCTCATGCTGCTCAGGCCACCCTTTTCGAACGGCGCGTGTATCACTGGGGAGCTCGTTAACATAACCCCCACCTGCATTCACGCCGCTTCGCGGCTACAGTGTACGGCTGCTAATTACAAAACTTAACCAGTACACGCCACTTCGCGGCGTCCAGCCGGCAACCCAAGCCCCGCTGTCCCCGATCGCACTTCTGGAAAGAGAGTCCCATACCATTTAGTTCTGCGAAGTTTTGTCGGCAACATTCGTTGTTTTATAGTCAGTTACAGGTTAAGAAGGTAGCGGCAAATGCCCCTCAAAGGGAATCAGATATCCCTCCGCCACCTCCGCATCCAATAGCGTCCCACCGCTCCCGTGACGTCGCAGCCAACGCGCGAGGAGGGTCTTGCCTTTCTGTACATATTTGCTTTATCTTTGGACTTTGACTTAGCATTGTGGAAGCCACGAGAGGGAGATTAGAGTTCTCCCCCACCGACGGAAACAAATATGACTTTCGGGGATTAGCTTCCCCCCCCGATGGATAGAAAGGCTGCTTCCAGGGGCTCGGTTCCCCCTCCGATGAATACAAAGGTCGCTTTCTTAAAAAGTGGGGTCGGAGACAAGTGGGAATCCATTGAAGCGGAACAAGGAGCGTTTCCAGTGAACTCTTCTTTCGACTGCGGAGAGATTTGAAACGGGCGCATCACGCTTGTGGGAGGAGCTTCTCCTACCTTCTTGACTTGTAACCGACTATAGTGTTCACCGTAAAAAAGAAATGTCGTAAATATCGCCAAATGCTCTACAAAACAAAATGTTTGAAAAAAAAAAAAAAGTAGGCTTACCGCGAATCAAATTTGCGTCCACTTGCGTATAAAGCGGACACGGCGGACACCTTAACTCCTATGCTATGCCATCACTTAGGAAACTTGTTGTGACCATTCGTTTTATGGGAGTTTAGCGTAGTGCGTATAGTCATTTCTGTCTGAAGTGCACTACGGAGTGCGTGTATCTTTACTCCCGAATGGTACCCCATTGTCGACTCCTTCTCGACACTGCAGCTAACATTTTCCCAAAGGGGTCCTTCATGCATTTGTCCTTTAAATATTGTACACGACACCTTACGTATGTATTCACGGGGATGCTCTGAAAGACTTCACCGGGTTTGTTGTTTAGACCAACCTGGTGAAGTCCTCGCTGAGCATTGCTCTCGATACACCCGTGGCAGCCAAACCGTGGCTCAAAAAGCATTCTGCTAGTCGCGACCGGCTTGCCGCAATCAGACTTGTACCGTACGCATTACAAGTAATCAAATTACTTGTAATCGATTACTTTTTGGAGTAATTTTGTAATCAGTTCATTACTTTTTTTAGGCAGTAATCACAAGAGTAATTCGATTACTTTTTGAAGTAATAAAATTACTTGTAACCGTTACAATTTGTCCACTGGACCCCTCCCCTGGGCACACGCCTTTTTTTTTTTATAAAATGACAAAAATAAAATGTTTTTTTTTTTCGAGCGGAAAAAAGAAAGATTTTTGTGGAGCTGTAGGAAACGAGGTCAATCTGTTTCTATGTACAGTTTCTGTGCAATGACTGTTTTTTTTTGTTTTTTGTTTTGAGCTGGGACTGGGAGTGGGAAGCCCAAGGGAAGCCACAGTGCGTGACAAAGGCCCTTCAGGGCGAAGTTTGAGGAAGCAGAATGTAGCTTTGTGAGTCCTTCGTTCAAACTAGCCCCCTCACGCACACACACACACAGAAATAAAAAAAATAAAAAAAATCCTGCTTAGGGTACCTACTCGCAGCCTGTAGGAGAACCAGAACCGAAGAATGCCGAAAGCGGATGCAAAATATAAAAAAGGCAATTAAAATATTTCCCCGTTTCCCCTACGTGGTCTTTGTGACAAGCAATGTTTCAAGTTGAGAAGTGGTCGGGGTGATCTCTTCCGCTAATAGATACCACACATGATCCGTTTCAAATCCTGGAGCTGCTGCTCTTTTGTATAACATGCGAGCTCATCCACATGTGAATAATAAAATAAGCGACGCAATCTTTGAGCGACAATCCTTGCTCAAGCTTAACAAGATTTAGAACCCACTCCGCCCCCCCCCCCCCCCCCACACACAGACACACACACACAGACACACACACTGGCGAACGCCCAAATCCTGAAACGTCTTCAAGCGAATTCTATGCTTCTGTCCGCATTGTGAAGGTGCAACGACCACGAAGAGGAAGCCAGTTTTTCTTCTTCAATACTTGTGCAAATGTGAAATATAGGCTGGAAGTAGTTCATTGTTATGAGCGCTAAAGATGTGTCTTCACACAATAAAGTAATCGGAAAGGTAACGATTACTTCTTTAAGTAATGTCCAATTACTTTTGCCGTCGAGTAATCAAGTAATCTAATCGAATACTTTTGATCCAAGAGTAATAGTAATTGTAATCGATTACTTTTTTTTAGTAACGTGTACAAGACTGGCCGCAATAGACTGGCTCTAGGCAGTTCAGTTTCCTACTTACATCCGGCCTTAGTCTTTAAAAAAAGTTATGGCAAATTGCTTGGCAGTTGTGTTGCATACATGAAACATTCTAGCATCACAAAGGTTTAGCAGTGCTTTGAGTTTCCAGATGCTTATGTTCACGGCGCTCTTCATCAGATAGTTTAACGCTTACCATGTGTGCACTTGATATTTGTTTCCAGAACGAAGCGATACTACTGCTAATCGGGCTGATAAGCCAGGCGATCTTCCGGAGCCTTCCGCACTCTTGAGCTCTTCTCCCTCATTGTGCACAAGTGGTGGAATTCCTCCTCTCCTATCCCTCTGGTCGCATGACCAGAGGGTAACTAGTCAGCATCAAGCACCTCACTCCTTCTCCCCCACCTGTCAAACAATCAGCGCCGAGCTTCGTGGCGACCCTTTTATCCAGGCTTCACTTTTATCTGGGTTTAACAAAATGCCGAACACCGAGCCAAAGAATGTGTGACGCTAATAAATGGTCTGCATAAGTTGAACATACACGAAGAACTAATTGTTTTCCTTTTCCTCCCACAGTGCACCCAACAGTACCTGACATACAGTATTCGTGAGGGAAATGTGGTTCTCCCGTGTCCCGACGGCAAGTGTCCCAGCGGAGGCACCTTTGACTCATCTGAGGTGAGTAGCGACCTACACCGACTACTTATTGGTTCGCACCGTTTGAAGTAGTGTCCCATCGTAACAGAGTGGGAATTTTAGTCCTCAAAATTGAATTTGAAAGGCTGAAAGCAAAAACAGTGATAGAGTTAGCTGTGCCAGAATAAATTTTGATTGGTTCAGACAAACTTCAAAATGGCAATCATGTAGCACATTGCGACGGCACGCCTCCACGAGCTTCCGGTTTCTAGGTGTCGAAAAATATGTTAAAATATTACATTTGTATTTAGCTTTTGTTTGGGTGAACTGCAGCTTTAACATACAAAGAAATGGATATGAAAATTTGGTTCAGACACTTAAGTTTTCAAAACCGGTGCTGTTCCAGGTTGAAAAACTCGTCGAGAAGGACGTCTTGGAGCTGTACCTACGTTGCAAGTTGAACAGAGGTGAGTTTGTCTATCTGCGAGTCTGTGACAATCTGGCCTGAGCTTCAACAAAAAGGTATCTTCACGTTGAAACCATGATAGCGCCGTTTTTAGCAAAGATGCTGGTTTCTTGTCCCAAGGGGGATTGCAATTTGCATTGTTCCTCACGCCAAGTTTTGTAGCGAAAGTTACTACACGACTAGGCAGCCTGAAACTTGAAAGTTTGATTAATTGTAATATGTTTTGCATAGTAGTGTATAAGCATATATCTCCAGAAAGAAACAGGCTTGTATCATCTAGATAGATAATAAACTAAGCTTACTATATCGTTAATATAGTCATTACATAAAATAGGACCTAGGATACTTTGTTGGGATAAACAAGTAAGAACATTTTTGGAAGGAGGAAGAATGCCCATCAGTGACAACGCACCGTTTTCAGTTATTTATGTATGGATCAAGTAGATCAAGACGCACACCGCATATGCCGTGATGACTTAATATGGCAAGCAAAAAGTTTTGTGATTCAAGAAATCAAACAATTTTCTAAAATCAATAAACTAATCAAATGTAATAAGTCTTTATTTCTATGTCCTCTAATACAGCTTTTTAAAAAAAAATAACAATGCTGCTTCGGTACATTTATCTTCGCAAATACCAAACTGACCGTCCGTTAATACGGAATGTTTTGCAAAAAAGTGGCCGAGACGAGTAATTATATTATCAAGTGCCGAAAAAAGTAGGTAAAATGAATATATTATTCCTTATAGTGTGCTGATTGCCACCTTTGTGTAAAACGGATAGAGGTATATAATTACTTACAGTTTGCTTATTGCCACCTTTCTGTATAGCCAAAATCTTTGCCAACTTCATGCTCGCAGAAAATTGGCTAGATGATAATGATAAATTTTATATAGGTATGTGGTCTTTGCTTTCCATGGTCAGTGACCATGGGGAGCGGGGGTCGGTGGAGGGGCGCATCGGAAGGTAGCTTATTTTGGAGTTCAAATTTTCAAAATTAGTTAGACTAAAAAAAAAAAAAAGAGCTAATTAGTTTGGGGGCAGCCACAAATTGGCCGCCCCCCAAATTCTGCCACCCTCCGCCCCTGGACAACATGTCTAACAAAACAGGGGTCAGTATCATTGTAGGCCAGAAACGCACTTGCTGCCTTCCGACGTGCATTGGCTTTTTCCGATGTGCTTTTACTTTTGCTGATGTGCCTTGGCTTTTTCCAGCATGCTTTGGCTTGTTGCCTGCCATTCTTATCCTGTCCACAGCAGCCTCAACATGCATCCTCGTCATTCTGTCTTGGTGGCTGTTACAAAACTGCCAATCTGTTATCCTGCGTTAGGTTTTAGCTTCTAGAGGACTTATGTCCAAAGCGCGACTTTCAAGAGTGTGGTCGACAGACAATTTTCCGTGAAGGCACGACGAAACCTGACCCAGGCGTCCTGTGTCCTTTGCAGACGTAGAACTCGACCCCTATCAGACCTGGTGCCCGAGCCCCGGTTGCGAGAGTATCTGCAGCGTCATGCCTGCTCCTAAGAAGTGCCAGGCTTCGCCCGTGCACTGCTCCAAGGTGAGCATTTTGTACCCATCGGCTCTAGCTGTCTGCTACTGTAGAATACCGTGCATCCGCCCATTCCCAAATTTGTAAGATCTGAGAAAATATGCACAGCACATTTATATGTAAAATTGATGACCAGACAAGTGCACATCCCCCATTTTTCCACGATTATCTCTTAGTTTTGAGTGGGCGCTTGCCCAGTTTTAATAACGCTTGCCCAGTGTTAAAAGGGAAGACACGGGTCTTTGTGGCCAAAAAATCCCCGTTTTTTGGGGTAATGGCGATTTTGAAACCTACAGCTATTTTTCTTCTGATCTGCCAAGTTTCTTACCATATTTCAGATCAATATTTGAGTCATTGTATTGGTTTATAATATCTATGATTGCTGGCTGGAATTTCATTGAGGTTGACACTAAATTGCCTTTTCTAAAAACACAGTGTTTCGACTTTATCTGCAAATTTTCGGGAGGGATATATCAGCATCTAGGGCAGATAGAAATATAACTTATTTTGCAACATGTAGCTAAATGTGCAAAGCATACAATGTTAGAGCAAATTCTTTGTTATATGTAGGTCTAGGAAAATTTTCAACTGAACTATTGTATTATGCTTGGTGGCCACACATTGAACACTGAACTTGCATATGTTGCAAAGTCATAAATAATGGTCCAATATGAAAAGTATCTCCAACATTGTATTCTTCATATTTCATAATATCTCACCACATTTAAAAAATAATTTTTTTGTTGTGCAGTTTTTTTTTTATTGTTCCTGCAAACATAGGCAGACAAGTTTTAATTATCTTGATGTGAAATCTCCCAATTAAAAATATACCATATATTTTATATCGGCACAAAAATCTGAACAAGCTTGTGCCGATATATTTTATATCGGCACAAAAATCTGAACAATTGGATTTCATAAAAAAGTAAGGGAAAAAGCTCCCAACACCAGTGTTTCCCCTTAAATCTCAACAGGCAGTAGATTTCTTACAAACAATCTGAGAAGTGGGAATATTGTGATCTAAAAATGAAGGATTTTTGAATCGCTAAGGGACATCTTATGGATACCAATTCGTGGCTGACCGTACCGGACATTCATGGTTAATCATATATATGACAGTATGAAAGGTTAACTGCTCGGTTTACGTGGTCAAAATAAGCCATCCTATTGTTTGCATGGGCGAAAGTGCTCTAAAGTTCTTCCATTCGGAAAGCATTGCGGCATATATGTTTCTGGCAACACCATGGGGCATACAGTACACTCGGAAAGCAGCGGCATATATGTTTCTGGCAATACCATGTGGCATATACTGTCTGTATCTATGTAATTTATTCCAAACTTATCATTCTGAGATATGACCTGTGTAGTAATTTTTCCCGTTAGGGATAAAATACAAGAGAAGCGACTTATCTCCGCCTTCGGACGTTTACGTTTCCAGTGCAAGCTGACCTTCTGCTCCTCGTGCAAAGAACGGTGGCACGCGTACCAGTCGTGTGACGAGTTCCGCAAGCAGCTCTCCGACGACGAAGCGTGAGTAAAGTCTTGCTGGTACATACATGTGGATCGTCGCTATTACCTTAACATCCAGCCAGGTGGCATCTGCCACCACTTAATCCCGCTGGTTCTCCAAAATTTGTTATGCGTGGTGGGTGTCAATAAGACTGAAATGGTACAAACAAACGAGCTGCCAAACACACGGCTTTATAGTCAGACAAGAAGGATGCAAAAGCTTTCATTGCCATTAAAGGCCAGCTTGCAGAATCAGTCTCTGCCTGGCAGAAGACCCTTTCCCAATGTCCTTCCGCCAGTTATTTCTTGCACTTGTTTTTCCTCCTTACGCACAAAGAGTATCCGAGTGCTAACCCTCGTTGAAAAGGGGAGTTTCGTCCTTTCTAGCTGTGAGGCAAGATTTAAGCGACCCAAATCCCCGTGCCGAATTCTATACAGCTGCTAAAACCAAAAATAGTAGGTATGCGCTTTTGTTTTTTTTCGCTTACAACATATGGTTCATGACAATGCAAGGCTGAGGAAAACTGGTCCAAGATGAGAGATGGTACTAGAATCCCAGCTCCCGAGACTTCCGTGTTGTCTATCCTTTAGTCAATAAGTTCCCTCGCTCGTGAGTCTGTATGAGCAGATTATACACACTCGCCCGCCGTTTTACAGACACTGTTAGGGCAGTCTCGGTTTGAGCTCTAAACAGAAGCCCACAGAAAGTGCGGGGACACAACATTTGTTGCCATTTTGTCTCTCTCCCTCTCTCCTTTTATGTGACGAGTGTTTCTTTCGGCTCACAGTCCAGGCCTGCCCGGCGAGGAGTGCGGCCTGATCAAGCGCTGCCCGCACTGCCGGGTCCCCATCGAGCGTGACGAAGGCTGCGCCCAGATGATGTGCAAGCGCTGCAGTCATGTCTTCTGCTGGTACTGCCTTGCCTCCCTGGACGTAAGTGCCACGGTTCTATGGCTGTTAATGTATTTCACAGTACTGCCAGGCCGGTTAAAGGGGAGGTCCGGCGAAACTTGGATATAGCCTCCGATTTGCCTCATAATCGGTTCATCACAGAAATAGTCACATCTGATCTAGGCATAAAAAAAAAAGGTACAAGTGAAAATAATTAATTTTAGGGGCAAAGCTCTTTAGGGTCTAGCTTTGTCCATCCATCTAGCGTCCGTGCTCACATCGATGGCACTGCCTCCGGGATCGGCCCACTTTAAAAAAAAACAACAACGTACGCCCGCACGGTGGTTCGAACTCAGGACCGCTTGTTTACGAGGCAGACGTCTTAACCACTACGCTACACTTTTTTTTCTTTCTCTTTATTGCAAGATTTTGACAGTGAACAAAGATTCACAGTGCACGATACATTTCACTTGAACATGTGCCAACGTTGCATGTAGCTGCTCAACGTCTATACAGGAGAGGGCGCTGCGGTCAAATGCGTATATAATCGCATTAAACTTTGCATGCATTGGCTCAACGTTTATAGACGAGAGGGCGCTGCGGTCAAATGCTCAAATGCGTATATAACCACATTCCATACCACACATTCTCTTTCTGACATGGACCGTTGACTTAAGCGGTGGAGATGCGTTCCCACGGCTTCTAGCGAATCCAAGCTGATCTGCTTGAACCCCTGGCTCTGCATTTCACCAACCATAAAGTAGTAATAATGAAGTCAAAACGCAACGGAACTCAGCACTACCTATGAACAATAAAATCAGAATCATCAGCACCACCAGAGCTTTGCCCCAATCAACATCATTCACCATGTGGAGGTGCGGCCTCTTTTTTTTTTCATTTTGGTTATTGTGCTTTTAGCTTTGTTTTTTTACCGTTTGTACAAGCTGAAACCATAGTGTAAGAACACTACGGTATAGAGCAGTCGTCTCAAACTTAGGGGAGTGTGGGGGCGATATCCCACACCGGAAAGGTTGAGGGCCAACAAAAGATGGGAGGGGATGGGAGGGGGAAGAGGGAGAGAGAGAGAGAGATACCTTGTGCTCTACGCTATTTGTAAACTCACAGTTTTGCCAGTCACATTTTTAGATTTGATTTGTTTATATTTTGGTTCCTGACCTAATGTGGTTACAAGGATTAAAATGACACCGCCCTGCCAACGTGCTGCCACTTTTAAGAGAACAAAAGAGCAAGTACACTGTCGTTCCCATTGCTCAATTCGCCCAGGAAATAACGAAACTTAACACGTTTTTTTTAGAAATAAAACAAATTAATTTGACAGTTCTTGCTTTCCCAACAATTTTAATTTTTATTACAACACTGAACGAACACTTGCCTTCTAATGGTGATACTTTTCATGAAGGCGAGAATCCCGAGCAAATAGCTTTTTATCTTTGGCAGTTGCTCGAGAATTCGCGCAGCCGAGATTCATCCTTCAACGAATAGCTCGTCCTTGCAGTCTAGTAGCGGAATTTTTGTACACTGCGAAAAGCAAAGAATAAAGCTAAAAAAAGGGCAGATGCACACAGATAACTATAAACTATGTGAATATGTATGTGTAAAGAGCAGATCACCTTTTCGAGCGAAAATAAATTGACGAGATGAGATCACCATGCCATTTCTAGGGCTCGAGACACGGGAGCCGGGGCTCATAGCCTGTTGTCCGTGGGTCACATGCGGTCCACGTTTTGAGAACCCTGATACAGAGTCCAGTGGTATATCAACCAAAGAACATAATTTGCTTTTTCTTCTAACCCTTTTTTTTAGGTTGTTGAGCCATACTCATTATAATAATGTGTAACAACAACAACAACAAAGTTAGAGCACTTCTGTCCCTGCCTCTTCTACTTTTGGTTGTTTCAAGATTTTCTCACCTAGTCTCAGATGTTTTAACAAAATGGTAAACTTACACCAGCTTGCCCGCACCCTGTTTTCATTAGAGCAGGACATCCAGCCGATCATAGCTATGACTTAATTATTAGGGTACCCCAGCAACTACAGGCACAGAGACTCAAAACTGAATGTGGTTCTCTTGCTTCTTTTCTTTAGGACGACTTTTTGCTGCGTCACTATGACAAAGGGCCCTGCAAGAACAAACTGGGACACTCCAGAGCGTCGGTTGTCTGGCACAGAACTCAGGTGAGCATTTCCTCGAGGGTACAATGACCTTTTACACCTTCAAACACCCGCAGTTGCTAAAAAGTGGAGCAAAGAGTAGCTTCACCCAATGGCGTCCTTCGAAGGTCGTCGCAGCGTGGTACTTAGAATTCAGATGTGGCAAAACCAAAAGTATTTTGCTTTGCATTGCTACCGGGAATTCAGCTTCACCGAGCCACCACCTCAGGTTGGCAGAAGTGGACTTGAAATTCAATTTCTCTAGTCTTAAATTAAGCCACTGAAAAGAAAAAAGTTTTTTTTTTTTTCTTTTTAGACAATTTGGGTAAAACACATGTCTCAAAAAATGAGGAAAAAAATTTTTAGTGCAATATTGACGGCGCAAATTTATTTTAAATTCTATGTGCAAAGTCCATGACGTCACGCAATGGTACACTCCTCCACCTTAGCAAGATGGTCATACACTCTCTCCACCTCAACGTGAAGGCCAAGCCGATCCACCTCTCCTCTACACGCCCGAAATGCCGAGAGAGAAAACAAATGGAAAGGAGGTGCAAACCGACTAAATCGCGTCTTATTGCCCTAAACATTTTTTTTTTTTTGCGTAATATTTTTTGGACACGTCTGTCCTATTTAGACTGTTTAAAAAACACATTTTCTTTCTTTTCAGTGGTCCTTTAAGATGCGCACAGGCCATTTAGAGGACAAGCAAACTTCAGCTGTCACTTTATAGCATTTGGTAAAATCTCAAGAATGAGAATCGTCACTTTTAAATTTTAGTAATGTTCTGCCCGGCAGAAATTCCCCCTTCTCTCCTCCCCACCTCGCACTACCACTAAACTTGAATTAAAAAAAAAAAGAATCCCATGGCATAGTTGAATGACACAATTTGCAGCATACTTTGAGCTCCTCCCATCATTGGAGCGACAAGTTTTAGGGCAATACAAGTATATATTCTTAATATTACCATGCTAACTGAAGTTGTTTTATTAGCGCAGTGGATAGGGTGTTGGCTAACTGAGTGAGAGGTCAGTGGTTCAATCCCTGCCAAAGGATATGGTCTTTGGCAAGGAAAATGGCTACACAGGAGATTGAGGTGTTTTTTCTGCATTATGAAGAAAACCCTGCCCTAGCTTCGGGACATTGTTCACAACAGTCGACCTTGTTCCCATGTGGGCAGGAAAAGGAGTCTATGGCACCTGCATTAATCAACCCTCAGTCCCTCCGAATGCTTGGGATTTGGGGGTCAAGCATGCAGGGACATTGCAGTGAACAACTGAGAACATAATGTTAAACAATTTTATGTGGTTAATTGTGCTTATGTTTATACAGCCGTTATGATTGAAAGTGTGACGAGTCTCATTTTTCTTTTATTGGAAGTTGACCTTTGTTTTATTGCACTATGAATCTTGCAGCAGTGATGAGGAAGATTGATAGAAACTGTTCCAAACAATTCAAGAGCCTCGAAATATACACCTTTCCAAGAAACACTCGACCCCAGGGGTAGCAAAACGTTTTCGAGCCCAGTCACCGTGTTTGAGGCTAGACTCTCACCGGTGTCTCTGCTAACCCTAACCGAGTGGACTGTGATTTCGATCGGCGGAGCCTGCGTAGGTGCAGCTTCAAACACTGCTGGTGGCTAAATTCTCGCCTTTTCCCGCTCTATTTTCTGTTTCCTGGTGCATGTATTTTCCCAAGGACATTAAGAAAGCATTATAGTACGTTTAAAAAAAAAAAAAAAAAAGCAAGAAAAACTTATGAACTATCTTAGTTGGGTACGCGCACACAGAACGAAGGCAACTAAAATGTTAGTTGTCTTTTTTTTTTTTTACGATAAGTTTTGACGGCGCCGCCTGATTAGCCGCGTGTCGTACGCCAAAGCACTCAGCTGTCAAAAATAATTTACAGCAGAAGATAGCCGAAAGCATGCAAATGCCTTTTGGCTATCTTCTGCTGTAAATAACGTATAATGTGTTTATACGTTATTTAAATAAATAAATAATGTGTTTACCAATGGACAGGACACGGAGATACAATTTAGCGAGTGTTTACATTCAAAGAATATATTGTACGTACCACACGATGCAGCGTTATCTGAAAGAAAGTTTTTTTGAGAAGGATCTCAAATACACAGTCGATGACTGTCACATATCGACGATCGGGCGGAATCCAAGATGAGATCGTTTTGGGGCACGTTTTGGGGAGAGCTTCTTTTTTTCACAACGGCACCAAGGCAAAGGAACAAACACGATTGACCCGTTTCCCACCCCAACCCGGACAACTATTTTTGGAGATGACTGAGGATTCTACACAGATTATCTCTGGGAGGGGGGAGAACAATTGTCACTGTTTGCAAAATCGCGTGGTGGGCCATTCGACGTCCTTCCCCTTTTTCGTTTCTTGTGAATGTCGAGCAGAAAAGCTAAGAAGATAACACAAAAAAAATACACAGCACGCATAAAAAAAAAAAAAAAAAATAAGGGGAAACTTTTAAGAGGGGCCAGCAAACGTTGAATGCACAACCGCAAAAACGTAAGTAGAGAATCACGCTGAGCGGGTTTTCGCAGTCCGAGAGAGTGGCAGAAAATTTCTAGCTGATAGAGGGCGTGCGAGTTGCACCAGCCGCATCAGCATCAGCAACATGGCGGCGGCCTAGAGCGTTTTTTGGAAAGGTGTATAGGCATGCAGGGTTTTGTTGAGGTCGAGCTTCTTTTGCATTTTGTAACTTCAGGTAGTCATCAGAAAGAATGACAGACAATATTCAACACAGTTCCAAGGTGTCATGGCTGATAGTTGTTACGGCTGAAGTGCAATACTCTAGAACAGTACATTGTTATATGCGCTCTGCATCTTCTGGTAATCATCCAAAATAATAGTGAAAAATGTTAGTTTTAGGTGACATGGCTGGCAGTGTCGTTACGGCTGAAAGTGCAACATGGTGTATCTAGAGCCTCAATACACCCGTTTTATGCACAAAAAGAGCGATCGAAAATGCTATGAAACACAAAATTATGGGTAACTAAAACTCCTGAAAAGAAAAAAAGTTTTTTTTTTTTAACATTCTAATTGGGGCACGCGTGGTAAAAAATAAATTTTATGCGAACAAATTTTTTTTAAATGCACTATTCACGGCAGGAGATTTATTTTAAATTCTGCGCACGAAGTCCATGACGTCACGGGTAATTTCGGAATGGCCATCTCGGTCGTGAAGGCGAAGCAAATCCATCTCTCCTCCATGCGACCGAAATGCCGAGAAAACAAGTGGAAAGGATGTGACTGCCAACTAAATCGCATCGCACGCCATCAATATTGCTCTAAAAAATATTTTTTGCATGTAAAAGTAATTTTTTGAGATGCGTGTCCCAACTAGACTGTTAAAAAGATATTTATTTTTCTTTTCAGTTTTTTTTTTTTAAGATTCTGCAATGGCTTGCAACCTTTCCTCCAACCACTTTTTTTTTTTCCCCATCATTCTCAGGTGGTGGGGATGTTTGCCGGATTCGGGTTCCTGCTCCTCCTGGCCTCGCCGCTGCTACTCCTTGCAGCACCGTGCCTGCTGTGCTGCCGGTGCCACACCTGCCACCGCTGCCTCGACCCAGAGCCCACAACCCTCTGAATGGGAGTCCAAGCCCCACCTTCTCTCGAAGAGGAAACCCTCAAACACTCGTCCGTCCCTGGTCGCTGCTGCGTCGCTTCACCAACTCATTGGCGCAGCCAGCACATCCCTCAAGTCTCATTTGTGAAGCCGGACGCTTTAACCGCAAGAGCGTGGCGACACCGTCTTGCGCATCGGAGTCACCGAGACGTCCTCAGAGTGTGGTGTGCCACGACGATAGCGTGCGGTCATCTTGTCACCGGTTGGAGTGAATGTGCAAACCCACGACCACCCGCACAATGGGAGGCGTGTCTATTTATTGCATCGTTTTTGTTGTCAGCCGTTCGCACTTCGTTTGCTTCTGGGCGGTTTTAAGAATGGATGCGCGTGTTCATGCAGACGCAGTAGGCGGTATAAGTCCGAGAGCTCGGTACTCTGCAAGTGTTCGTCGACTCTAGGCACTACACCGCTGTCCCTGTTTTAGTCTTGACAAGACTCGTAGAGCTGGTCAGTGGCTGTGCAGTTCCGAATGGTGTTGAGATGGTACTCGCTTATTTAGGCTTAAACATCATTCCTAGATAGGGCACACCTGTCAAGTAGCTTCTTGAAATGATCAAACTCGTAGGAAAAAGCATAGCTCCAAATTTTATTTTTACCCAGTTGATACATTGTTCGGGAGAACTACGCTTGTTGAGTTTCTGCATTTGTTGGCTCCAGGGGAACTGCATGGTTCCAAGTGTCCCGCCTTGAGACGACCGTGCTTCTTATAAGCAAGTTTATGCCAAATTTATTTTACGACACATAATGTCAGATTTATCCAGTCTCTCAATGTACATGTGCACTTTGTGAGTACTTCGGAGCACATGGGTACCACGAGCAGTCCAAATACCGTGGGAATATGTTTGTTGAGATTATTGCGAGATCTTCCTTTTAAACAGAATAGGCCCTCTTTTAATGGTTACAATGGGCGTTGTTAGCTCGTGAACTTTGGAACATTTAGAGTTTGGAACCAAGTTCGCGATTCTGTTTTCGCACTGATAAGACGGCTTGCCGAGACATAGTCCAAGTTGCCACAAATATTTGCCGCGTCATATTACGCAGTTTCAAAGAGGCAGGATACGAAAATTGAGCGGGTAGCACGGCCTGTATAATGTTGTTGCTCATTAGCGCATGCGGTGATGCAAGCATGCTTAGCAGTATGTCTGTGCATGGTTTTGCGAGCGACTAAATCATGACTTCAGACTGTTTCCCCCCCTTATCCTTGGCGCCGCTTCTAAAGCCTCCAGTCAACCCTTCATAGTACTAGAACAAATAAGAATACTAAAAACTAGAATCCTCACTATTTGTTCAGCTTGCTAAAAGCGATAATAGCAGGACGCAAGGGTCTGCCACGTGGAGGCTTCGTGAGCCAGCAGTCTTACGAGTTTTCAGAAACAATTCGGTGCTATGCAGTACTTAGTAAAGCGTTACCTAGCATACTCAATTCAGGTCATAGCATAGATGCAGCATTTGTCCTTTCAAATGCAATCCACACACCATTTTAACAAGTGTGGCTGCAGTAGAGGCTGGGTGTAAAATATCGGCACCTATGGAAAGCGTTGTTGCAGTGTTTTGTCGACACGACTGATGCAATGATGGGTCGCAGCTCGTAGCTTTTGGCTGCGACCCCAAGTTCAACCTCATTCTTTCAGTCATTCAAATCCACTTTACCATCCGTGTCACGCAGCGTGCCGTTGACAGAGTTGTACAATGTGCAAACGTGGCAGCACTTGTACTTCATGTGTTCGAGCGACGCCTGTAAATATCCGAGCAATGTACATAGTAGCCGTGCATTGAGACTTTGCCACGGGTGTTTAGTAGAATCATCAAAATGCTCGGGACTTCACTCTTCACCTGTCCTCTGTGATAGCCCCCCCCTTCTTTTAAATATTATTTTGTACACGCTTATTTGTGGAACTGGGGAATTGAACATAGACCATAGACTGTTCTGAAGGACTACTTTGCCTCCGAAACTGCCTATGTTCTTCAGTGTGCTCCTTTGAACAAAGGCTGGAACCCTGCGACTTGTTTTAGCTTGGATTTCCATATCCTTATGCAAGGCTAAAGACTAGAAACAAACAAAAAAAATCCAATGGTCACCCCAAGTTTTAGCTGCGCATAAGGGTAGGACACGATAGAACTGCCAAACATGCTGGTGCAAGTCACCGCTGAATATTTGCCATCATTAGGCTAGAAGATGTGTACAGTGTGTCCCCGAAAATAAAGGTTGCTGTGGATTTTATTATTGCACAAGCAAACTATATTTTGCCATAGTTTACTTTTTTCAATTATAACTTTTGAATAAGGCAACAGTCATTTCTGAAGCTCTAACATCCGGTCTAGATTGCTAGCGTCACATTTGGGCAGAGGCTGAGCATTTGGTAATGCAGAAGTAATTTTTGCACTGAAAAAAAAAAAAAAAAAACACTTGGGTAATCTTCTTTTTTGGGGACACGTGCTGTACAGCAAACAACTCGCTTGGTCCCCGTCTTGTTAAAGACAGGATGCATCTCAGCTTGTACAGCATCAAAGTAACATCACGCAGCTCATACCAGCAATGCAGTGCAGCTCAGCACTTGGTGCACAGAGGAGGAAACAAAGAAAAGAAAAAGCCAATGACCAGTTATCAAGTCATATAACCTAGCAATGATGCCCGCAGAAAACGCTAAACTTCATGCACCCGTGGATTGCGAGAAATCTTGGACAGGGCGTTGTTCATGGCAAAGGTTTCTAAAGAGTTCCCGAGACAGTGTGAATAAAATCAAACAAGCACATTGGATACTGCACACAATCTAGTCTATCGAACTAGTCTCTTGAGGGACTTGGCAAAAACTTCACGTTGAATAAAATAGTGCTGTCCTCTCTACTCAATGGAGTCCTGTGTTCTTGCAATCATGGTACTCGGTGGACGTTACGGTAACCATGACGTGTCGGAAGCAGTTGCCATAAATATGTTATAAATGTCCACAATAAAGATGTAGTAAATAAATTGCGAAAGCACACAAAGAAAAAATATAGATCGACTTTTCTTACCAAGGTTGAGCATAGCATCTTGTGGCCTGCAGAAACAGGTAAGTTTTCACTCTGAGCACAATAGCCTGGTTTGTTCATGATCAGATCACATCATGAAGCCCGAATCTCGGTGCATTTCAAGACGTACTGCACGAGTGAGCCACTTCTCTGCAGGGACATCAAGGTACTACCTATGATGTTTAAATGAAAATATGTGAAGTGAAAGCAATAGCTGTAGCACGGTTGCGCAATGCGGGTGGAATGGTGCCGTCGGGTACCTGTGGATGGAGATGCGACGTAGTTAATTCTCATAGCCGTCGCGGTTGGCGTCATGGATGCCACTGACGGCCGCCAGCAGTGCTCGGTGATTCGTGAAGTGGGTAGGTGCGGTGGAAGTTTCTAAAACCATCCAGCATTATGCATAACAACTGGATACTGCCAAAGTGGGATTTCGCATAACGTGAGTAATGTTTGAAAACAAGTCTTGCAAGCAGACAACACTAAGATTCTCCTTTTGTTGCGTCGTTACTGGCAGGGTGCCGGGGCTTCCCTATCTTCCATCTCCGTGCTGGGTGGCTGGCGAGAAAACCCAACTTCCCTCTCAAGCCAGGAGGGGAAAAAAGAGTTTCTCTTCCCCTCTCCTTACACCAGGAGAGGAATGAAGTGTTTTTCCATAGCAGCGACGACAGCCCACGAGCTTGAAATCTCTGCAGTGTCGCCTGTAAAGCTATCGCTTCAGAAAGGAAAGATACATGTTAGTCTCCCTACAGGGGACAGCTGCATCACTTCACAGGAAAGGTAATCAAAGAGATGTTTGTGACGAGCTGGCAATAGAAAATAGAGAACTGCTTGAAGCGGGAGTTCTAGTATCGGAAAGGATATGGCGGTATGCAGAGCGAGTTTGTCTACTTCTTGCACAGGGGTTGTGATGATGTCAGAACACCGAGCTCTTATTGGCAGATTGAAAAAAAGTAGTGGGTAGACCTCAAGGAATCTAGCATTGAGGTCTACCCACTATCCTTTCTATCAAAGCAAATCGGAGCTCGGTGTCGTTCCGGTGTCACCGCAACTCCTTAGCGAGAGGCAGACGACTTGCTCTCCGCATTAGTATGCTTTTTTTCCTGTAGGCACCCTATACTTTTGCGCAGAGGTGCCAAGTCTGTCCTCATAATTTCCCTCGGAACAAAAAGCAGAGGTTGTTTCAGGATTAGTACATTGCTCTTGAGCGCTCTAATGGACGAAGGCAATTGGCCCGGTTGTAATCGTGCACCGAGATGCTGGCAGACCTCAGTTTTGTTGTCACCTCACCCACGCAAAGCAGCAACATTGCTAAACACAAGGCCAATTTCGGGCTCCGCAGCAATGCTCATTGTAACAGCATTGGAACGACATTCAGCGGAGGTTTGGTATCTGATTGTGACCATTGATATGGCCCCATAATTTCTACAGCTTGCTCCATTTAAGTTGCTACTGCAAGCTCGCCTCCTATTGTTGGAAACCAGACATGGGCATATTCTTGGAATGTGCCCAAAGATGCACAATTGCTCTTCACATGGCTTTTGAAAACTAGCGGTGCAAGTGCAACTTCATGCTACGGACATGCAGAAACAAACTGGTTTCAAAGTTTGATCAAAACCTGCTGCACTATTGTCAATACGAGTCAGAAAAAGGCAAGCGTGGTCTGCGATGGATCCTGCCACAAATTGAAAGCGTGGAAGTGAAACGAACTTCTGAATCACGCCAATCGGATTAAGAGACCAAGGGAGGTGTAGCACCGTTGAGTTGAAGCTGACACATAGCACCTGTCTGTAAACAGCCTCGAAAATGGCAATCAGTACCGGTAGAGCTTCATTTTGGGTTTTTTTTTTCCATTGAATTCAGGGGCCTTTTTACCCCCCATAGATTCATATATCCGAGTCTCCATACCGACAAGATCTTGGTTCTCAAAGCAGCAGTAGCCTTGCAGAGTTCAGTGCAAGCTGTGCTATCGAGGCCTAGTCAATACCGGGTTTTTCCTTGATTTTGACAAGGCTTGGGAATTTATTTTGGGGCAGTCGCCGACAGATTTTTCGGACTTTGCAGGGATCAAAAAACATAAATAAAAGTTAGAAAAATCAATTAAAAAAAATTTGCCTTTATTACGTCTGAACAGGCTTAAAAAGCCATCAATAGTGTCTTGCTCTAGGCTACGTCCCCGCTTGCGTTCGGCCATAGCTTGCTGGGATGTTTGGTTGAACATATTAAAAAAACATTGCAAAAAGGACGGGACAAGTTCAAGGACAGCATATGTCTTTTGGACACAAAGTAGAAGACAGTGTATGTCCTGTGTCCTACTTTGTGTCCCGTACTTTTTGCAGTTTTTTAATGACGCTGCCTTCTTTTCTAGCGTTACACTCGAGTACTTTCCGTGCTTCTTAGCAATGCTTCACAGCGGCAGGAAGACAGATGGGGCCACGACGTCCAAGTAGTCCCAAAACACGATTCGAGAATTGACGAGGCACAAGTCCGCGGCTGGCTGCAGAATTACCATGTCGAATGAACAAAGCAAAATGGCAAGAATGATGATGATGACGAACAGCTGGAGAAAACCAAGCCGCAGCATAGCGTCGCTTTGGCAGGACCATGCACCATAGTAGGACTTGGCAGTACTCGAGTAACGCTGCCAAACCAAGCCAATGTTTTGACCGATCACTCAATTTTGTCAGGAAAATCAAACTCTAACTTCAACCTGTCTGAAACATTGGTTGTATACACTATTTCTATCAGGTAGGTCACTGTTCCTCCTTTAGGTCTGAAATAAATTGGTTGGCAATGTAACAAAAACGTGGAACCCTAATTATGGCATACTAATGATGATACAAGATTGACAGACAGCAACACACAAGCAGAAGACAGTAACTTTATTGTAAAATATATCACCTTTTGATGCATAAAAAAGGATCCAGTGGTGTAGTGCTGCGGAGGAACGAAAAATGTCACTGGACTGACAAAAAGTGTCAAACACACCCATCTGATATGCACCGCCTATGTAGCAGACTATGTACAACATCCAAAATCTGCGCCCTACCATCAGCACGGTTTGCCAAAAAATAAAAATAAAATAAACCCCAATAAAAAAAGAAAAACTAATTTAAGTCTTGGCAGAAGCTATGTACAACATCCAAAAGCGGCATTATATCGTCAACACAATGTGCCTAAAAAAAGTAAATGCAAAATCATCAGAAGGGCTATGCGCAACACTTAATACCTGTGTCTCGCTGTCAACACTGTGCGTCTCAAACGTAAATGAGCAAATGACAAAAAAAAAAAAAATTTAAAATGACATTCATATACATGTGACAATCCCTAAACAAAAAATGGCGCCATATAAATACGATAAGGCCCAAACGCGTGCCAGACCAAAGAACTCGACATAAACAAGGTCAGTCCTCAGAAATTCGCAACCATCGCTGCCCCTCGCCAATTTCTTCAAAAGTCTGCGTCCAGTGTAAACACCTGTTCTTCTTTGTTGGCCATCACTCCGGCCTTCTGATACTCCCCAACCCTCTTCTCAAAGAAGTTTGTCTTCCCTTCCAAGGAAATGTGCTCCATGAAGTCGAAAGGGTTCTCCGAGTTGTACACCTGCAGAGACAAAGAAGTCCAAGTTGAAGGGATTTCGAGCAAATAGCAAAACCTATCAAGTATACGAAGATCACTTTTAGTAGCAATTCCAAACTGTAAACTTCCAAAGCAAACTTTCAGTAGCAATTACAAACTGCAGCAATAAAGGAGACCCATTAAGCATGTTTTGCAAAGTGCCCTAAACCCCAACGGTTTCTTTTGAAAATATATGCTCGAACAAATCACCTTCTAAAATCTGAGCTTATCAAGAATGATTGTACAGCAATGCGCGATATAGAGGACGACCTATTGAAATGGGTGGAGAAGAGTTGCGGTCACTTGTACCTTGCGGAACACTTAAGACGATCCGCAAACTGCGCCTCCACCTTGCCCCTGGTCACCCAAAAACGGCCCAATCGCGGCATGCAAGATGGTCGACGCGGACAAACCTTTTCGCAGCCGAGCTCCACAAGCAGACGGTCAGCGACAAACTCGATGTAGCGCTTCATCAGCTCGCAATTCATGCCGATCAGGGCCACTGGAAGGGCATCGGTCAGGAACTCCTGCTCGATGACGACAGCGTCGCAGATGATCTGTCGCACACGCGCTTGAGATGGCTTGTTCACCAGATGACTGAACATGAGACAGGCGAAGTCGGTGTGCAGGCCCTGCCAATGAAATCAGCGAAGCGGTTAACAACCTCAAGACACAAGCACGACCAACCAGGGGAAGACGCCCAGAAGAGATACCGAGGTACGAGAATCGCTAAGCTCGCTGCTAGACATTATTAGAGACATTACTAGCGCTCTTTAATCTATGTACAAGTATTCACACGAGATGTGCTCTTGCTACAGGCCGGACATCGGCAGCTAGTTAGGGTAGGCCATCAGTTCCACGATTGCTCGCGCGTTGTTCTTGAGACTGTCTGTGGGTTGTCGTCGTCGTTAGTGCGACACCAGACGCACGGGAACAAGATGATGTCCGAGATGCTGCACTCGCAAACTCTGATAACACAAACTCGGGAGAAAGGTGGAACTGCTTGGTTCGTGGCCACTCATCGAAGCAGTGGTCACTTTTCTTAAACTGTGCAGAACATGGAAAAGTATCACTTTGGGATCTTCTCTGGGATCTTGAAAACTCGCCCTACACAGTCGGCTTGTAGAACAGATGGGCTTGGGTTTACACGACCCTGAGACACATTGTAAATTTGAAAACATTTAGAGATCCAGAACCCTTACTCGTAGCAAAAAGAAAAATGCAACTGCACGCACGACCTCTGCTTGCAAGATCCGACAGAGCAGCGGTCGATTCGTTCAGCTGTTGACAGAGTGTCGCTCTTGCTGCCCATTTGGAAACAAGGCCAGACATCGGGGACGTTGTTCCGAAGCTGGGGCACCGCTCGCTTTAAGACGACGACACCTACCTCGTCCCGACTGATGAGCTCGTTGCTGAAGGTGAGGCCGGGCATGAGTCCCCGCTTCTTCAGCCAGAAGATGGATGCGAACGATCCCGAGAAGAAGATGCCCTCGACGGCTGCAAACGCGACGATGCGCTCGCCAAATGTGGCGCTGCGGTTGCTGATCCAGTTTAGTGCCCAGTCCGCCTTCCTCTTAATGCAGGGCATCGTCTCAACGGCGTTGAATAGACGGTCCCTGTCGCAAAAAGCGGAAGTTGGAGCAATTAGAAAAGAAAAATTTGCATTTTGATTACAATCCGTCGACAGAACCATCATACACAGAATAACTTTTCATTAAAAAGCACGAGACGCCAACTCTGGTCTCGGCCTTCCAAGCACGTGATGCTGGGTCAACGTTGTTACATTCTCCTTGTGTACAGATTTTTTTTTTTTTTTCTGCTTAAAAAAAAAATGTTTTTGCAGCTGTAGAAGTTTTTTTAAGAGTGTCTGAGTTCTCCCTTCTGCTGCTTCAGTTTCCGTTGCGTGGCCAATGGACCTTGCGGCGCAGGTGTTTGGCAGTCAGCCAACTAGGCCAATACTCTTCAACCGTTGCACGTTTGCTTTTAGAGGCTAAATTAGAGAGCTTCGGTAAAAATGCAATTTGCATTAAAATCGAAGCACTCCTTGACCTGCCGCTGAAATGTCTCAAATGCACAATGTATGGGGGGATATTATAAGGAGTAAATCTGGGCAATGCGATGTATGCCAGGTCATGCGACTTATATGGCGTAAAGTCGTAGTGTCATAAGCGATGCCAAAATGTTAACGTTTATTAGATCGATACAGCTGTGGTGCAATCTGACCAGGCTTCACACGACACCATGTATTTGCAATGCAAGTCATGTGACCTGACTAGTGCCCGCCGAATTAAGTGGAAAGTTGGGAATTTAAATGACTGCATGGTATGGCTAAGCAAATCCCGTCTTTGCTTTCGTTAAAATGCGTCCTGCACTTAATAGGATCGAACGTCAACCTCGCGACGAGACAAGTGTCGAGCTGGATTAACATAGAAGCACAGCGTTGCTCACCTTTCAGAAGGGTCCTTGATGTAAGTGTCGATGAGGAGGCTGTACATCTCTGAGTGCACATTCTCGATAGCCATTTGGAAGCCGTAGAAGCAGCGCGCCTCCGTCACCTGGACCTCCTGACTGAAACGCTCCACCTGCGCGGGAAGGCGACAAATTCCCTCAACGATTCATGCACTTCATCAAGTTAAAACCCGAAATGTTGCAAGCACTGACTTTTGATTTGCAAGGCCCGGACGGTTGTGTGGGGTCTCGGGCCAAACTGAACTCTGTCTTTAACGTTTCCCAAACGAGACGAATTAGTTACTGCCATATACAAAACTGTCACCTACACTTTCGCTTCGCGTGCTAACAAACAGAGAAAGACTTATCCGTTAATCCTAAGCCCCGATGCTCACAATCTCAATGCAGAATCTGTATCGGGGTCCAAACATGAACCGCACCCAGCCATTTGCCCGTGGGCCTCAGAAGTATGGTTACCAGAGGCGTAAGTATGCACTTGCAGTATGCGGCATTCCATTTCCCGATTTCCTCGCGGGCAATGGCATTGTGGTGCAAGTGGCAGTCGTTACAATTTGGAAATGCGACTCCCTCGTGTGTAGAAGCACGAAGCTCGGGAAACGTCATTTTGCTCAGTCGCGTAAGGGTTTAACATCTCCGGACGAGAAAAGAATGTTTCCTGCAACCTCAGATAAGGCATCAAATAACTGGCAACCACGATCTCAAGCACCAAGATGGCAGAAGTGTTGTCGCTCTTAAGCATAGCTCACTCGGTGGCTCTGGGCACGACGACTGGCCTTCAGCAAGCTGTGTAGGGAACACAGTCTGGGCTTCGTCTACCAAAAGGTTACGCTCTATTTGAGTCTAACAGATGGGTCTGCCAAAATATCTCGACTGACACCTCCATTTTGGAGCATCCTCCATCTCAAAGCTCGTTTAGCACACCGCCACAGAACATCGGGACTCCGGCACACTAACAACCAGTAAACCAAACCGCCCTAACCGAACGGGTGTCTACCAAACTGCTTCTCTCATATTTACTGATTTGTCCATGTTTTCTTGTTAATATTTAAATTAAATTCCCTAATCATAAAAAAAAAGAAGAGCAGGATTTGGCAATTACTTTTTCTTCAACCTAACGAATCGGGACGTGGTTTACGCTGCCCAGTATGGCCACCGACAACTAATACTCGACAGGAAGGCTATCCAGACCAAAGCCACACTCTCCCACTTCATTGCGTGTCACCGGTCTGTGCGCGTCAGTAATTTTCCCCGACTTAAGGGGTGTCCAAACAGGATACTACAGAACGCACGACTCCGACAAATCGGACAAATCGTGCAGCGCTCCGCTTCCGGCCGTTTTTCCTTCACGGGGGAAACTTTCCCCCATCAAATCTGCCAAGGGAGAAACTTCCCCCAGACAAATCTCCCCCTCGCGATTTGACGAGGAGAAGTTTCTCCCCGGCAGATTGGAAGGGGGAAGTTTCTTCCCGTGAAAGAAAAACCGCCGGAAGTGGAGCGCCGCACGATTTGTCGGAGTCGTGCGTTTTGTAGTATCCTGTTTGGACACCCCTTTAAACAATCTCTTGACGGAGTGTCTGCGGAAGAACATAGACTAATCGCTGCTGGCGTTGTTACCAGGTTCTCGTTAACGATGCCGTCGCTGGCGGCGAAGAAGGCAAGGATGTGGGAGATGAAGTGCCGCTCCTCGGGCTTGAGCCCGTCCCAGTGGGGGAGGTCCTTGCCCAGGTCCACCTCCTCCACAGTCCAGAAGGAGGCCTCGGCCTTCTTGTACATGCGCCAGATGTCCTCATACACGATCGGAAACATGACGAAGCGCCGGGGGTTCTCGCGCAGCAGCGGCTCATCCTGCTTCTCGAGCTCGACGACGGTCTTCTTTGCCAGCTGTGGAAGACACGCAACGCTCGATCGAAGGTCGACAAAAACAAGACATGTAGCGGGGGGAACAAAACTAAACATAGCAGTAAAATGGCGGCCTCAATAATCTATCGTAGGACGTGGCCCTTCAACAGAAGTCTGCCTCATCGGGGGAAATTATATTCTAAAAGGACGTCCAGCCAAGTCCCAATTAGGATATAATTGAACATTTTAATGAGAGGGGAGATGAGCAAAATATTAATACTGTAGAAGACAAAAAAAAGCGAAAGCCGTTTACAACTCCCCGTAAAGCCTAATTAGAGCGCATCTTTTGAGGAGGAGGAGGGAAGGGTACTGGGGGGGGTCAAGTGACGTCGGGAGGGGGTCATGTGACGATGACGTCATCAGTGATGACGACAAAGCGGATGCCGGTGACGGCATCAGTGACGATGACGGGGGGACTTGCGCGGTACATTACGGGGGGAGGCACTCACCGAATGACACTTTAGCGAATAGTCGGACGCCGCGAAGCGGCGTTTACGGGTTGGCCAAATGGGTTTACAATTTTGTAATGAGCCGCCGCAGACTGTCGCCGCGAAAGCGCAGCGCGGCGGATGGGTTAACGCGCGCCCCCGTTATTCGCTAAAACGTCGCTGTTCGCTAAAACATCATTCGCTCATGTGATATAGACCCGCATTACGGGACAGGTCCCATAATGCACCGCGCGGTTACGCCGACGGCGACGCCGTTCAAGCCGCAAACGGGCCCCGAAGAGCTGCGCTCTAAAACACTTCTCAACAGCCTTGTCAGTCACCCCAGAAGAAAAGGGAGAAGAGGGTCCCTACAAGGGCTTAGTTGGAAATCTTTCTTAATTATTCAAAAATCTTTGAACAATCGAGTCGATAAACTCTATGGAGCTAGACAATTAACACCCCCTAGACCAAAGAGACAGCAGTATTGGAAATAATACTAAAAACCCGAGTCCCAAAAATTTATACAGACCCTTTTCTCTGTTTTTAGGCTGTCCTTGCATTCCCCTGTCTTGCCTTCGGGAATCTGCAAAATAAAAACACTTCTGCTGAAACCGCAGCTACTTCGGATTCGCCGCTCACAGCAAAGCATCCCGTCAAAATCGTGAAAGCTATATACAATACAAAAGAAAACTGAGTAACATTGCCCTTTAAACACACTCCCTATAATCAATAGAAAAGCTCGAATACCTAATATAAATTCAGCGAGAACCACTCTACACAATACGGGCGACTTTCTCCCGCCAAAATCCTCATCCATCGTTTTGGCGGGATTGTATTTCCGCCTAGTAAATGCTAACCATAAATTTGTTCCAAATTGTGCCACGAACCCCACAAAAAAATTCTAATAAATGTGGGCTGTACAGCACCTCGCAGAATTGATGTTACCCCCCTTTCATCCCAAAACAAAAACACCCTTTAATTGGTCGCCAGCCGCGGAGGGGTGACTTTCCAGACGCCTGAACTCCTCGTGAAAAATTACGAACGGAGTAAAAATGAGTAAATTTAGAGTTCAGTTGACAGCTCAAACTCAACATATACCTAATAAGCGCAGTATTACTGCTTTCAGATGTAGCTTTAAACGGGCTGAAGCCGGTACCGCAAAACGATGCAAAAGGATTGCTCGCGGTTGTGCCTCATTTCATTCAAAATGAGACGGCGGAGTGGAGGAAAACGCACAGACCTGGTTTTCTTTGTCCCCTAAGGTCGTGTTCTTCAGCTTGTTCAGCACATTCATGTCGACGGTGGATAAAGACATGCTGGAAGTGGCGCAGAGGTTGAACGTAGCGACTAGGACGACGTATGGCGCATCCACGAATGAATGCACGTTCGCGCCAAGAACTACGCGTACAGTTGCGAGCGGGTACGCAGTAAATTATTGTACGAGCCGAACGCGTAGCTGCTGCTGTCCAATCAGAGCTGTCCTCGGGCTTCGCCGCTGGCCAATCAGGCTCGCGCAGTGTAAAATATGCGCTCGTCGTTCGGGGGAATTAACGTCAGAAAAACATCGCTGGTGTCCGTGTTACTATGGAAATTGACGAGATGGGTCTTTGAGCGCGCATTATCTATTATTTGGGCTGTGAAAAGAGGGCGCTAGCGGTGAAACACGCACTAGAGCACTATATAGCTCCTACGGAGCAGAGTAGCGCAATCCTTTGAACCTCGTGTTTTGCCGACAAGATGGCCGACAGAGCGGCTCGGCGCGAGTCACGTGGTACTCAGGGTTCCAAGAGGCGGCCCGCCCTATGGGAGAATACATGGAGATCGATACAACACGGCTGATTAAAAAATGAACGGCGAGTTCACACTTTTCAAAACTAGTCTGTCGTGAAGTTAGTAAAGCACTAAACACTTTATCAAAATTTTAATAATATCGGATGCGTGTGCAAATTTTGAGAAGGCAATTTCCAAGGCAATGGCGTTTGAAGCAGACGATTTTTGCTCGCAGCGGAGATGGGCTTTTCGGGTTGGCCGGAGCGGGTCACGTGAATGGTGTGACGTCGCCGTGTCGTCTGCTGCATGATGCCGCTCAGGCAATTTTTTAAAAAAAGTTACGTCCTTGTATGGGACAAAACTTATCGCATATTATTCTAAAATGTTTCATTATTATGTCAAAAATGATTTCCATTCCGCACATCCCCACAAAACTGAAGAAACAACGATTTTCTCACGTTCTCCATGCATTTCTGACCGCAGTTGGAACCTCCGGGCGTTCGCCGCTAGTCGCCGAGAGACGGCGTTCTTGATTGCGCTACTCTGCTCCGAAGGAGCTATATAGTGCTCTAACACGCACGTACACGCACCGAACATGTTCCGACTTGCGTTTAGGCAAAGCAAAACACAACAAAACCAAAACCATGCGCAGTGTTGCCAACCTCCGCGGTCGTTTCTTCTTGATTTTCCGATTCCCGACGTTCGGAAAATGTGTAATTTGCGTCAATATTAAGATTATCGTTAGGGGGGAGTAGCTTAAGAATAGGTTTCTGTAGTTGGGTGGCCATTTAGGCGTTAAATTTGCTTCGTTAAAAACCTTTCTACATATTAAACTTTGTTACATGTTCTGTTTGGTACGAGTCAGCATTGCAGCTTTGGCTGTTACTTCATGGAGAAGTACATAGCTTAGTTCCCCCTTTCGTCTTTTTATCGTGTTTATAAAGAATTAAACATGTGGGGATCACTAAAATACACAAGTCAAGCTGCCATTTCATGCCAAAGAACATAAAATGCATTTGAGTAGATTTTTAACGAAGAATTGCACCACCGAATCCTCAAACATGACAGCTTTTCTTTGTCAACTTGTCTGCTTCATCCCACAAAGCCCTCCACCCTTTCCACTTTGGCAGAGCAAATGCCGGGGGGGAGGCGCTCACTTGATCGAATGACGTTTGAGCGAACGCCCACGTTTCACCGAATGACACTTTAGCGAATAGTCGGACGCCGCGAAGCGGCGTTTTCGGGTGGGCCAAATGGGTTCACATTTTTGTAATGAGCCGCCGCAGACTGTCGCCGCGAAGCGGCGTAAGCGCAGCGCGGCGGATGGGTTAACGCGCGCCCCCGTTATTCGCTAAAACGTCAATTCGCTCAAATGTCGCTGTTCGCTAAAACGTCATTCGCTCATGTGATATGGACCCATGCCGGGGTGAGGAAGGAGACTGCCAATCATGGCGAGGAGCACAAGACTTTGTGGGATTGGCTTGTGTTGCTATTTCTAACTTGCAAGACGGTACGTAAAAGTAGCAGTGTTCGAGGGTTTAATGCTACAATTCTTCGTTAAAAATCTGCATTTAGAAGTACTTTGTGCTAAAATCTCTGGCTCGAGCTATCACCTTAAATTCAAAGTGTGTTTGTGTGGTCTTAACAACATATACTTACCGTAAAATACCGAACAGGCACCCACTCAAAATTTAGAGATAACCGCGAGAAAAAATGAGGGATGGGCGCTTGTCCGGTTACCAATGTTGCATATAATGTACTGTGTATATTTTCTCAGATCTTAGAAATTTGTATATGGGTGCTTAATGTGGAATGGGCGGATGCACGGTATTCTACGGTAGTCCAATTCTTTGTAAAAATTATAATTGTGCTGTGTGCGTGTTTATACAGTCATGAGTCAGTCGGTCCCGATGGGCGTTCAGACGTCTCCGTTGCAGCCAGAAATTTAGCCGGTGCAATTCGACTCCTGGCTCGGGATCATTCACGGGCACCAGACAGTAGCGATACATGACCGCACACTGGTACTACGATCATCCAGATGGAAACAGGCAGGGGTGGGGATTGATACCAGGATCTCCGGGCTCTGCAGTGCTAGCTGCAGCTCCATGCGCCCCGGGCTGCAGTGTGCCAACACACTGTGCACCGATCCCCGCTCCCTTTAAAAATGATAAAAAGGTGAAAAGGCGAGAGACAAATGCACGGCAACTTCGATGAGACGAGTTTAATGAACGCGAAATCGCAAAACTACCCGATCAGTGAGATGCCATCAGAAGGGGTGCCAGTTTCCCGCGCAGCCCGACTTTGTCCGCCAGGTGGAGCAACGCGTCCGGCGTCGCTTCCTGGGGTTCTTGCTCCACCCAGACAAGCAAGGCCTGGTGAGCCTGCTTTACCGCGTCGCCTCCGTGCTCCGAGGAGAAGTAGAGGATCTCGTCCTCGCTGAATTTGAGCAGGGGCGCCAACTTTATCCAATCCGAAGCCAATGCAGAAGCCAAAGCGAGGAGCTGCTCCTTGCCCAAGACGTCTTTCTTGGGGTCTGCATTAAATAACAAAAATGGTTTAGTATTATAAATAAGAATGTCTTTATAATAGGGGTATATAAATATTGCTTCTAATCAAAAACTGCAGTGTCGTCCCTACCTTTAAAGACATCTGATCCAGTGCTACTTGATTTGAAGCACCATTCGTACACCCCTACATTATAACAAAGTCAATTTAAACCAAAATGTTCTTGGCTATATATAAACTTTTCCCAATGGGTCTACGATTTTATTCATGGGATAAACAAGTAAGGTACCATGACAAACTAGAGCCTTATACAGTTATTAAAAAAAAGAAAACGCATGGCTACAAACATTGTTGTTGTTCCCCTGCTATTTCCCCTTTCAAGCGAGCCAACATATGGAAGCTACCGATTGGGCCCGAGACAGTGCCATTTTGACTTCTGGAATGTTCTATCCTAATCTCTCGCGGCAATTCTCCTTGCACGTCCCACTGCCACAATGTCCGATCTGCGATAAATGCTTCCTCTGATCTCACTGTGCAGCATTAATAGCGTTAATGACGAGTCTCCATTCCCGTACCGGGTGCCTTCGAATGCGAGTTTGTGTTCCCGTCCTCGTTGTTCTTGAGCAGTTCGTCCTCGCTGTCGTCTGCTCCGTAGTCAGCCACGTCTGCTTTGTCGTCCAGGACCTGCGATGCGGAGTTCTGTCGAGGGAGGGGGGCGAGGAAAGTACAATAAAATGCTTGACTGTTTTCAGGCAGAAGAATGCCACCACCAAAGTTAAAAGGGCTGTGAAATAAAAGCTTCTTCGCTTTGGCTCAGTGATGCTCAAAATAAACAGTTTATGCCCATGAAGCACAGAATGGGAATCGACGTTTGTTTAGAACATGCGCTGATTTTCACGAAGAGTGTGTTCATGAGGCTCCTCACATCCATTTTCTTCCTCTGACACCCACTTCCCCATCAGACCGATGGCTGCACCTCTTAAAGACACTGAATTCTCGAAAATAACTTATTTAAGTGTATATGGATAGGACAGGAAAGGTCACAAAATAATCCAATTTATCGTAGCACCTCTGTGCTATGAAAGAAAAGGAGTGTCCTCAGTAATGTGGATTATCATCGATAAAACAAACTACCTTTGATAAAACGGGCCATTCCTGACGAGAAAAATTATTCTTGTTAATGCAAATTATCCTCGATAAAGAGAGCAAACCTCTCTTTATCGAGGATTATTTGTCAAGGGACTATCCTTGACAAAGTCAATTATCTCGATAAAACTGCTTATATTTTATAAAGTGGGCTATCCTTGATAAAGCTCATTATTCCACAAGTTCTTTTTGATAAAATAAGTTTGCCAAGCTATAAAGACATTATATATCTTAGTCAAAGCAGGTTTTGTTTGATTAAATAGATTATCATTAATAAATTGCTTTATCCTTAATAAAGCAGGTTATCCTTGATAAACTTGCAAAAAAACTGCAAAAGCTGAAAGACGTCATAAATGAAATAAGGACAAAGACTTCCCACAGCATAGAAAAACGATTTCATAAAACATTTCGCCTCCCGTGCGGGAGGCACCTTCAGTAAGATGTTGCCGCCGTATTTCTGAAGATGCCTCCAGCATGGGAGGCGAAACGTTTAATGAAATTGTTTTTAATGTCACATTGTTTATTGTTTATTTGGAGTTTTTGACGATACAGAGATTGCCATGGAGTTCGGGCAAAAAGGCAACAATAAAGTCAGCTGACTAGGACCCTAGTACCAGGTTACACTCAAAACACAGGCAGCAGGCAAACCTACAGCAAAACAGCAAAAAAGAGAAAAAAAAAAAAACTAAAAAAAAGGATACATATAATATACTACCTATGAGGTCACAGAATTATCTATAGAAAAATTATATAACAGCAACATAATTACAAATACATCGATATGTATGATTAGAACAGACAAAACAGCAAACTACAACGGACGAAGAAAATACATTTTTGCTTGTTTTCTGAAGGACAACAGTGAAGATCTATTGTCAATAATACCAACTAGGGCTGGTTAAAGGTTCAGGAGGTTAGGAATTTGGCAGGTTAATAATTGTGTACCATAACTGGTTCTGGTTCTAATATATTTTTTTTAATTTCTTTGTCTAAAATTGTAATCAATGTCAGTGTCTGTATACAAGACAAAAATAGTTCACGGTCAGCTTTTAGATTTGAAAAAATAACTTCTGACAGTCGTTGATTATATAAAGACTCGACATTCAGTATATGATTCAGTTCAAAATATGAGGATGTGTGATCAGATGCAGGCAAGTTTTGCATATATTGTATGCCTTTTTTCTGCATTAAATACAAACAATCTATACTTGATTTGGATGCAGGCACGTAGCCAGGATTTTGTTTCAGGGGACGGGGGGGGGACCCACCCATGACAAAATGCTGTATGAGAGAGAGGGGGGAGAAGAGGTCCCAACAAAATGAAAGATTTCGGGGAGGGGAGGGGGGGGGGGGGCTGGACCCCATGGCTCCCCCCCCTGACTATGTGCCTGTTTGGATATAACCCCATAAACGAGTAAACAATAATGTAGTCTAGAATGAACGGTAGAAAAATAAAGCTCCATGGCTTTACTTTTCTACTGGGTCCTCATTTTAATAATAAAACAACTTATCCTCAATAATTGCCGTCCATCCTCAATAAAGCGGGTCATATCTGATAAGTGGGATGTGACAAAAGAGAGAGACGGGGCCCACCTGTGTGCTGAGGGGCAGCTCCTTGGCCAAGCGCAGCACCATCGACTCGAGGTACAGGGGCAGGCTCTTGATGGGCTGGTTGCTGCTCGTGAAGAAGTGCGGGGACTTCTGCGACAGAAGGCGCAGCGAGCGCCACCCAAAGTTGCCCTGGTACACGTTCCTGGACAAGAGAGGAATGTTCAAAGTCATCAATAAGATCTTTCTTCAAGAAGTTAAGAAATTTTGCAAGTTTTCCCTTGTAAAGTTTTGGCCTAGATAGTCCGCACCCGGTACCTAGTCCACAGATAGACAATTCTCATACACAGCACACCCTGACACATTCCTGCCGTATTAGCTCACAAAGAAGCTTGTATCATAAGTGAATCCTCATTAACATACAATTCACAAGATCTCTTAGGTCTCGTCATAACGAACAATCTAGAACAACGGGTTTAAGCTGCTCTAGAAAAAAAAACCCTCTATAGCCTGCGTCGGAACATAGATCACACCGCGCAAGATTTAGACTTTTGAACAAGTACAGTTTAGGAACTATAGTACGGTAAGTATGACAGACATGGCGATGTTCTTGTTTGGTTTTAAGGTACTGATGCAGTGGAAGATGAATAAACTACTTAATAAATTTTCAGTTTCTCGAAATTCAAAATCTTTGTGTAGAAGTCAGGCTACCCTTTCTGTAAGTCAAACTTCGTCAAACTTTGAAAAGATTAAAGGTTCACCGAATCAGTCGAACCTTGGGCTTGACAAAAGTTTGCAACATCCTTAGCTAAAATGCGTGTGTTTTTCAAAAGAGCATGGAATAAATGAAGAAGTTTGACTTCATGAATAACAATTGAGAATGAAGCTGGCTGGCTTGTCTTCGGCTCAAAAAGGACGCTGCTAAGGACACCCAAGCTTTTACTCACAAACTCTACCATAGCTCTTCAGCTTTTAAGGCTGTCTTTTTTTCGGCCACCTCATTATATGTCGCCCCGTTGAGATCACCTTTCTGAAATTAACCCCCGATACGCACAAATTAACGTGTAAAAAATTGGCCCCTTCTCCTTGCCATTTTAAACTGGAGCAGCCCTACCAGAGAAATCGGTGATCATGAGTCTTTTGTTGCCAGCATAAGCATGATGCTGCTCGAGTAGGTTAAGTCGAATTGTCATTTTCCTCTTCCGTTTTGAGCACATTATATTACAGTACCTTTTCTTTATATATATATATATATATTCAATTACTGCTGAAAGAACTGGCTTGTGTTTGTTGTATGTGTGCACTGTACCTTTTTCTTTTTTGTGTGTGTTACTGCTTGGTTTTGTTTTTCAGATTACTGTGCTATGTTCACCCCTATGTATTGCTCATGAAAGCATTTAGGGTCATTGAATAATAAAAAAATAAAATAAAACTGCCTCGCACCTTGAGATTTAGGCAAGGATAAAGGAGAAAACCAGAATGACCCGAACAGAGTTATTACTGCAACGGAATCGATTTAGTAGTCGCACCAATTAATGTACGCCACGACACGTGCAACAAAACGAAACTGGACTACGGTGTCAAAACTCGTACCTGCGCGACCCCGGCCGAACTTGGTGCTTGGTGCCGCAAGTACACAGATGGCGCCAGACAAGCGGAAATAAAGCCTCTACGGAACAGGTTGAAAGATCAGTCCCGCAACGGCTTGATAGGTCCTTGTGAAAACTCCCTTGAGCAACACTGGCGGCCGTCATTTTTCGGGCAGAAAGCATGCGACTGGATCCGAGGATTCGCTGAATGCCGACGCAACCCTCGCGTCCGCCGTAAGCTCGGAGCACGTGATCGCGCTACGGCGGACTCAGTTAATCAGCGCAGCAGTCGCCAGATGACGCACTCTTACGAAGAGGGTCCATGCGGAGCGCGAGTTTGTCCGCCTCTTTTGCTCGGGTTGCGGTGACGTCAGAACGCCGAGCTGTGATTGGCTCCGATCGAAGGGTAGTGGGTAGACCCCAAAGCAAGCTGCCTTGAGGTCAACCCACTATCTTTCAATCAGGGCTTGGCATTCGGACGTCACAGCAACCCCTGTAAAATAAGCAGACAAACTTGCGCTTCGCATCGAGCCCGTTATCCAGACAGAGAAACGACGGCGTTACTTGTAACGGTTCTCGATGGCGTGCGCGGGATCCGCCTGCTCCACCGCTGTCTCGAAGAATTTCTCCAGGCTCGGCACAAAGTCCCGCTTGGGCGAGGTGCACGCCTCCCAGTTGTCCGGACACAGGTTCCACAGGCGGTTCATCTCCGCACTGACGGCGGGGAAAAACAAGAAAGAAAAAATGCACCACCTTTGAAGGCGTGAAATTGCGAGACAGCACGACCGAATATCCCATTCTCCTCTCTCCCTCTGAGCTTGTCAAAGAAAAAAGAAAGGTGTGAACATTGCATAGGAAAATTATGGGGGGAGAAAGTCGACGACTGGCGCAAAGGAGGCTTCTGGTTGGAGACAAATGGGGAGAGGTTTAGCTTTCGTGCCCGTGGATCTTGCGAGGGAGCAATTCGAGGTCAGCTGGCACATTTCCGTTTGAGCGCGTTCAACTCAAACGGTCGCGACTGCTTAAGACGAGAAAAGAAACCGGTTCCCCCGGTCAGACAGCCCCAATTGCTTTGATACGCGTACGACTAGACCAAAGGTTTCGCGACGTCTGCGCGATCAAATCTGCGCGCAATCCGAGAGAAAGGGTTGCTCGTGGTGAAGTCGGAATTATTTCGAGCGCAGATATTTTATTCTGCATATACTTAGTGTGCAAAATATGTGTGGGTCGGAGCTGTTCCGGGGCTAGCCGAAAGGGGGTGCCAGCGTCTTCTCTCGTCGTAAGCAGTTCCAGGCAGCTGCAATGCTGCCCGTCCCACCCAAACGCAGATGTGCGAGCCAGCCCAAAACTGTATGATTTATCTCAGGTTTGCTGTCCTCCGTTTTTACGTCATCCATTCTGTCAAAGAACGCATCAACTCGTGAGGTGTGGGAGATTAAAGTAAAAAGAAATTGGGCAGTCCCGTGTTAATCTACAGTAGAGACCCAGTGACGGCTGCGACATGTCGTGGCGAAGTCGTCGGGTGTTGGAGTCGCATTTGCGCGCCATGGGGTGCGTGAACAGAAGCATTCAGAATAGATTAGAGATTTGACCATTTTGATATGAACGCTTTTGCTTCTTTTTTGTTCCCGAGTGCGTCAAAGTGCGTCTTCCGGCACGAGCTCTTGGCATTGACAGTGCTGCAACGGCATTTTGTTGTCGGCAATTTTTTTTTCCAGAGAATGCGTGCAGTGGACGTTACATACTACAAAAAGCCGAAGTATAAAGTGGGTTGTGGTGTAGCTCTGAGGCAATGCCTCCACTTTGCACACGGCGGACCCAGGTTCGACATCCGTAGGCAGCAGGCGATATTTTTTTTGGGGGATATGGCAACGTCCACGACGGACACTTTATGGTTTACTGCGTCAACTACAACATCACTAACCTCAATGGATGTCATTCCCAGTGGTAAGAAGAGCCCTTAACAGCTATCGCTGCAAAGAAAAAGCTACCTTTCTATCGTTATTTGTAAGAAAATTTAAGCTCTGTTCGTTGGCATCAAAGCTTGTGATACGTGGTTAATGGCAGACATGTGACACTCACTTTCCAAGGATGACTTTCTTGTTCGCCAGCGCCGCCTTGATTTCGTCTCCGAGCTTGCGCTTGGGTCTGTCAATGGGCACGGGACAATTTTTTTTAATGCGCGAGCAGGAACTCTTGTGCACGCTTTCTCAAGAATAGCACACCTCCCAATCAGGAAGGACACCAAATCTTCTCGGCTCGTGTGCGAGGTCTGCATGTGCTTTTCTAATGAAAAGCAAATCATGTGGAGGGAATGGAATGGAATGTGTGACAGACTGCAGTGGAACGTGTGCCAGACTCTGGGTGAGTCACGCATTCCACCCAGTGTCCCAGCACGAATGGTGTCCTTCTGTGAAAAAATTATCTGTCCCCTTGAAATTGGTTGTGACAGGCAACCCGCATGTGCCGCAGGAAAGCCGGCCAAGAGAACTTTATCCCGTAAACAGTTTACATCATCTGCCATCGGACGTTGTTCAATTGGAAAAGTACACGAGACAACTTCATGCTGTAAACAGCGCATGTCGTTTGCTATTGAACATAGTTTCACCAAGAAACTACACGAGAGGGCTTTACACCTTAAATAGCACACGTCATCTGCTATCGGGTGTCATTCGACTTGAGAAGTAGACGGCACATGTCGTCTGCTATCAAACGTCTGGTGCATCGGGTGTCGTTTGATTAAAAGTAGACGACGGATGTCGTCTGCTATCAAACGTCTGCTGCTATCAGGTGTCGTTTGATTATAAGTAGACTGCGCATGTCGTCTGCTATCAAATGTCTGCTGTCGAACATCGTTCCAGCGAGAAAGTAGACAAGAAAGCTTTATTTCATATACAGAACACATTGTTTGCTATCAGATGTGACTCTGTTTCCCGAATCTCGCAAAACTAAAGGGAGTGTGTTGATAAAAAATTGATGGAAAATTGCTATATACTTGTATTGCATACGTAATATATTCTACCATCATAAACATTTAGTGATACTCTTGAGTTTCCAGATGCCTATGTTCACGGCACTCTTCATCAGATAGTTTGATGCATACCATGTGTACACTTGATACTTGTTCCTGGTATGAAGCGATACTACAGCAAATTGGGCTGATAAAGCTCGCAATCTTCCAGAACCTTCCATACTCTTGAGCTCCTCTCGCTCAATGTGCGCAGGTGGTGGGATTCTTCCTCTCCTATCTCACTCCTCCTCGCCTACCCCTTGGGTAATATGACCTCCCCAATAAAATAACCAATCGATGTTGAGCACCTCACCCCTTCTCTCCCACCCAACAACCAATCAGTGTCGAGTCTCATGGCCATGCTTTTGTCTGGGCTTCACGGAATGCTGAACAAGTAGCCAAAGAGCCTATCACATTACAGCGATCGCCAGGTTTAAACATTTTGTCAATTGCAATGAGGGTGCAATGGCACTAATGTGCAGTTTTTGGCCTACTATGCAGCCCCTATCCCCAAAAAGTGAAGGGGAGAGGAGTATTAGCACGTCACTTACCACTCCCCCTCCTCATGCAGCACTATGCGATTAATTGCGTGCGCTACGACGTGAAACCAACAGCTGTGCTTCGTTGCTCATGCTCTCTTTCATGGCCTTACTACGGTGCAACCAACACCGACATTGGCAAGAAAGGTCCCTGTAGGGTCCCCTATATAGCTATCTCTCTCAAATAATGCTGGTTGAACCGAACGCTTTCGCGCAGCATCCCTCACCTTCCCTCTTTGACGATGTCGACTGGCTTTGCCTCCTTGAAGTCCGGGCAGCCTTCGTTCTTCCAGGTGTTCCAAAACTCCTCTCTTTGGAGAATGTGCTGCACAAATGAGCACCGGGCATGTTGTGGGAACTCGTTGCAGCACCAAAAGGCTCCTTGTAGGTGCACTTTATCATAACTGACATAAAGGTGTTGTCTCACAAGTTTTGTTAGTGCAACTTGTGAGGATAATTTCCTCACTGCTCCTAAACCATGCAGAAATTACAGCATCTTCCTGCTTGTAAGTCGCACCATGGTATAGGCTGCACCAGCCCACAAACGACCGTTTTCACGAAAAAGCTGGTGAGTTGCACCTCTGCACAGGTCGCACTTCTTTGTTTGGTCAGCACGGCAAAATTGCACTGGTAAGCCTGCGTGTACGTGGGCAGTCTGATTGCAAAATATGCATGAGCGAAAGCCAGTTTCAATAACCTCACCGACCAATAAATTGGAAGATAGAACACCCGTGGCAAATTCGTTTTGATGTGTCAACCGTGACCTTTACAAAAAAAACAAAGCGTTTGTAAGTTTCATATTGTATGTAAAACACAGTGCCAAAAATTTAGATTTACTGTACAGCAGGACCAATGGCACATGTAACAGTGCAAAAGAGCTTTAAAAGATATAAAACAAGTATCTTTTGATTTTACTTTAGTGTGTCGAAGTTGTCTACAACCGATGGTACAAAAATGGTTGACAACAAGAAATAAGTTTTCAACAAAACACGACAGACCATACCTTGATGTTTGCTGCAAATCCAACACCATCGGGCGGAGTTTCTTCCAAAAGCTGTTTTCAAAAAGCAACAAAAAATATTTTTTTTACATCATACAGGCAGTGTCCAACAACATCTGCATAAAAACTATACTATGAGATGCATTAGTAAATGACACCCACAGTTCTTGGCTGAATGTGCAAACGAACAGCATAGTGCAAAGTGTTGTCAATGTGGAAGTTGAAATCGCATCTCTGGTCCCAATTTTGCTTCAAAAGCTCAATCAAATTGTGAGAGTCTAGACTCTAGAGCAGGGGTCTTGAAAACTTTGGTTAAGGGGCCGGATTAGGCATCTGCCGCAGTCTCGAGAGCCGGGATGAAAAAGATTAATCATAAACGAGAAAAAATTAAATGAATAAACCAAGGTATGAATTTAAATGCAAAAATGAATGTTTGAGTAACTATTAAAAAAAAATCTAAATGGATGACTAGGTATATAAATTTAATGTTTAGATAATTATGAAGTGACAGAACAATTGCGACCATGAAAACTCACCAAGCAAGAATCAAAGCACACGGAAATTTTGGCAGATTTGTGCAGTGCAAAAGATTCATGAGAATGACAAAACTAATGCTGACACAATGTACACAAGAATGGAAAGGAATTTTAACATAGTTACACAACCATGAAGCCGGGGACTAAAAATGGTGATACTGGTGATGAAAATGTTCAGTCGTGGCGCGAGAATAATATTGTGATGCAGTTTCTCGTGTTCTTTCTGGTATTTTCTGTTGGGCACTTGGAGTGCATTGGGGTGCCCTATTTTTAGGGGTACATCTTTTTGCGTCGGTAGAAGCAGGCCTACTATAAGTGGGCTGGGGCCGGCTGGGAGACTTCCGGGCCTGGATTTGGAGATGCCAATCCTAGAGTGAGCATATGATCACGACGAAGGCAAACCTCCAAAACCTAGAAACCATTTTATACTAGGTACAGTGCAATCCACTTATAACGATAATAAGAAAACCCAAAAATTCAATCGTTATCACCGATTACCTTTGTATCTGGACTAGAAGCTGGATGTTTCTAGAAACTGATCGTTATAAGCAGTGCATCGTTATATCCGGTATCGTTATGACTGAATTGCACTGCAGTATGCACATCAGTGTGCACTGTGCAAACACCGTCGGCAACAACAAAACACGGGCGTGTTTTCTAGCATAACTTTAAGGGAGTGTCGGCACGTGGCAAATTCAGATGAGCACTCCCCACAGTATTTTCAACTCTTTGAGTGCCACATCTAAGCACACTTGGGTGCACTCCCGTGTGGTTTCAGTTTTGAATCTTCTCCTTGCCAATCTCAAGTGGACTGAAGGTTTCCTCATCCCGTGTAGCATCATGTATCAGCAAGTGATGAAAACAAGGTTTAACCTTGTGGCGTAACTTTTGGATGGCATATCAAAAGTTCCAACTAGGCGACATCTCGTTTGGCATGAACCTTCGTTGTCGCCAAATGGCGAATCCATGTCGTTCAACCTCGCGCTTCCCGACCAACGCCCACATCTAGAAATTATGGATGAACCCTGTATTTGACGACCGTGAAAACAAGGAACTTACAGTTCCGAATAAAAAAAAAAGGCAAAGTAAGGATGCTTGAAAGGCTGACCTTGGTGTGCGAGGACGAGGTACCACTGCAAGATGCTGGATCTCGAAAAGTATGACACGAAAAAACTTAGCTAGGTTGGATGCATGCAGATATCAATTAATTATCTGTTTATAGAAGAATGTCTGATAAATAAATATTCTTCATAAAGCACGCAACAGTGTTACCAAAACAAAATTTGCAATAAACGAAAAAATAAATAAATAATGTGGTCGCCTAGCTGATAGTTACGCACCATCTGCAGCAAACATTTCAGAGCACCAAATGTTTTTTAGAGCGCAGCTCTTAGGCGCCCGTTTCCAGCTTGAGCGGCGTCGGCGTCGGCATAACCGCACGGTGCATAATGGGTGAATTTCCCCGCTAAATCTAGCGGAAAAATTTCCCCGCAAAATCTAGCGGAAAAATTCCCCCGCTAAATTTAGCGGAAAAATTCTCCTGCTAAATGTAGCGGAAAAATTTCCCCGCTAAATCTAGCGGGAAAATTTCTCTGGGGGGTCACGTGACCCCCCCGTGACCTTGGGGAGGGGGTCATGTGACCCCACCAAGGTCACGTGACCCCCCCCTTCCCCCCGAAATCACTTGCCCCCCCCCCCCCGAGAACACATGAACCTAAGTACCCTTCCCTCCTCCTCCTCCTCAAGAGCTGCACTCTAATTCGGCGTTACAGGGAATTGTAAACGGCTTTCATTTTTTTTTCTGCTCAAACATCCCACACCCTTCCTGCCTTTTTTCCCTTTTTTCTGCTCAAACATCCCTTTTTGTCTTTTTATTACGAATGCCTTATACCACTGTAGTGCTTCTTGCCTGTACAAATGTCCACTTCTGTATGGGTCTTCAATGACCTACAGCATTGACAAATAAATAAACGAACATAAGCAGGAACACCCCCCCGGATGGTGTGATGACACCACAAGCAAGCCATACATACTATCAGTATACACTATGCTGACATAGGATCAGCTTGCTTTCTGTTTTTGCACAATGGCTTCGCCATAAAGTGGTATTGAACATTTTGAAGCTTAAAAATGTTTAATATACACCAGCTCACCTGTGCCATTATCTTCTGTTCACAAAGTGGTACTTCAGTAACAAAAAACGATTAGCCGAACCGTTTGGCGAGAAGCTACTGACCTTGTACACGAGGGACATGGTGTTCTTGACCCAGGTCGACTGCTCTTCCGTCAAGACTTGTGACTCTCTTCGGAAAAAAGCAATGTCATTAGCCATACAGTTCCTTCAATACATAAAAAGTTTGCTCAATGAATTGTGCAACTTGTTCGGACCCACATGCGCGGTCCCATAGCGTCTGGCAGGGACAGACCATGAGACGAAGGGGACGACCAAAAGACCAACGTTGACTTTCAGTATATCGCTTATATAACCTGATGATACCAGCGGTGCCATCTGTTAGGTCTGTCAACAAATACAACCCCTACACAAGTCTGCCCAAATGTGTATGGTGAAGGGCCCAAACTGCTTTGCCATTTTCAGACCTGAGCTCACCTAGAAAAGCAGAGACGCAATTAAAAATTAAAAAGCAGAGACGCAGGTTTACCATAGGGCCAATAAAAATCCACAACATAGAAATCTTTGCCCGGTCATAAATAGGGTTTTGTGTTTTCAGTATATATCGATAAACACAGATTTTTGTCAAACACCAAAAGTAAGACATTAAAAAACACCGAATCAGAAAAAAAAAATTGGCTGAATGTTTGGTTATTTTTTAAGGGCATTTAAGTGCAGTAACTTAAAGGGATTGTCCGGTCAAATTTTGTATTCGAGAAAACTATTGAATATCATTGTTAATGCCTTACGCATCGTACGTGCAATATCTGAATTTTATATGCCCCTCTGCATGAGTAATTGAATTTATACTGCTCCAATCGCATTCTAGCGTAAACGCTGCTTTTGTTGGCAACATTGAAGCTCTGACGTCACAAAACACAAAGCGAGCATTTTTGTCTCAACGTTTGCCGCCGATTGAACGCCTCAGCGTGTTTCGTTTTTGTTGTTGTGCTCGACTTGTTTCGTGGTTGGGCGAGATTTTTGTTGCGCGGTTGGGTGCCACAACGGCCACAAGCACCGGACAGCACATGCGAGCCAAGACATGATGTTCCACACTTTCCGCGAGACGTGCAATGACGAGCAAAGTGGATCGTCGTCGTGGGTAGGAACTGGGTTCCCGTCAAGATCAAGATCCCGCTTATGCAGCAATCATCTCACAGAAGAGAGCTACGAGCTGAGCTCTAAGCGGACAGAAGGCTTGTAAGCTGAGTTGTGATGCTGCTGCCAACGATATTAAGCTACATCTACCCACTCCTTGCCCAAATCGGCTCAGTCAATTTAGGTCTGTTCGATTCGCCTGAACTGGCTGAACTAGTTCAGCAGTGCAGGAACTGGTGCATTCGATTCAACTGGAAGTTGCAAGACCGCTGCACTGGTGCGTTCGATTCATCCCAGTTCTGAACGAGTTCAAACCCAGTTCCTCAAAATCTTGCATCGGCTCCGGACTCAGTTCAACGTCCGTGCAGAAGCAGACAAGAGCAGACGGCGATAGCAGACGACACTCCTCATCCGTCTCTGCTCGCGGTGCCATTTTTCGCAGCTCTTGCTCAAATGTCTGCGATGTTTAACAATAACGCCGATACGGTGGTTGTATTTTCTCTCATTTATGATAATAACGTACCCGTGGTGGACGCGGAATTGAAATCATAACCGAGGGTAGGAATTCGCTTGATTATGATATTCTGAAAGCGTTTTAGGCACCTGCTCGCGTAGGTTTCGCTCTTTGTGGTGAGTGTTGAAATATTGGCTCACATAAATTGTTTCTTTTTGATGCTATGTGGGGATCCACAGTGTTGATATTCTTACTTACAGACACGGGAAAGGTATTGCCCTCTTGATAGTCCCCGCCTTCAGTTGCTCTCGGATGCATGTTGACGACTCCGATACAATGCAGAGGTCTGGGATTTAGTGCGTTGGCATTCGCATGTCCCCGTAGCTGAGCATAATACTGCATGCTTTGTCCGCTGGTATCTGTGGACGCCCACTAACGGGCCCGGGAAAAACGCCGAGAATCGTCATTTTTGCCAATTCTCGCTTCAACTTGACGCCAAAGTTACGGTCGATAACTGTCTTGGCCAAGACGCTATCGTCAGGCCTTCGTCTTCGAGGTGACCGGTATACCGACCGCGCGCTGCCGTCAGTGACTCCCGACGCAAAATCATCCTGATGCCGCAAACCTATCGTTGAAATGCAAAGATTCCCTTTGAGGTGCATTTGCCGCTACCTTCTTGACTTGTAACCGACTATAGTTCAGAACTTCCTGGCTGAATCGAACAGACCTTGATTATGCAGCGAAACCAAAACCAACAGCTAGGTCATCTCGAAATGATACCAGAAGTTGTATTTGGCCCGCGTGCAGCCCGATATCTGCTTGACCCGCCTATGAAAATGGAGCGTGACTATGATTCACCAAGCTCGTCCAAGTCAAGCGACGACAGGCATTTGAACGGTTCGCCGTTTGCCTTCGACCCGCGGACATCGCCTCTGAGGGAATGACCCGCAGCCTCATCACCGATCCAGTGGATCTGCCGAAATCTGTACCCAGATGCCGCTTCGTGTACCCCTGTGCCGCTTCAGAGGTGAAATCTGTATCCTTTGCTTTGCAAGCGCCCCTAGTTCGATCGGCGTCCGTCGCAGTTGTGTTTGCGCGAAACGGCAAACGTTTGCTCGAAGCTTAGGGCTGTTTGCAAGTAATATCCTGCTAAAAGGCGTGACTCTTTTTGCACGTGCTTGGGAACTGCATTAAAAGAACCATATTTCAGTAGGGTACTGCCTAGGAGGCTACATAATTCGAAACAAAATGCAAGACATCCATCGACCAACGCTTGTTATCCCGACCATCCGACAAACCTTTGTGTTTTGTGACGTCACGCAGCACCTACGGATGTCAGCCCTTGACACTGGCGAAATTGGGGGTGCAGTTTCGTACATAGGCTCATGAAAGGTTTAATTAATAACGGGAGACCATATATCAAAATAAAAATGATGTTTGTTTATATGAAGGCTCCCTCGACGTAACGAGCGCAAGAACTTAAGTACTTCCGGTTTCGACCGGACAATCCCTTTAATGGGGTGGGTGGTGCCTAGGGCACGATGACCCTTAGTCCTTCAGTGCCTGGTGTGGGAGGTGATCTTAGTTCAAGTGGGGCCTGGGGCAGGGTTCTGTATGGAAGCAGATTATGTCACAGCATTGTCTCTTTGTGACGCTACGGGCACTTCTCTTCAGCGCCACGTGGATACAAAGCCTTTGCGCTGAATTTTCTGGGTCATAGAGAGAGGGGAAGCGTGCTTTCCTGCCCTTTCCACTTCTCCTCGTTCTGCACGCTCTTTCTACACTACCCGTTTTTGCTCCTCTTTTTCTTGCCCTTTCCACACTGCACACTTTCTCACACACCTGCTTCTGCTCCTCCCGTTCCTGCAAGCTGGGTACATAGCTCAGTCAGCAGTGCACTCAGCTTTCACACTGGTGAACAGGGTTCGATCCCAGGCACCAGTTGCTGTCTTTTTTCAAGATTGTTTAGCGGTTACGGACTGAACGACCTACACATTTCGTTCTTAGGCAGCTCCTAAGGTTAGTCGGCCCTATAAAGCTACCTTATTAGTAAACCCCAAAGAAACACCTCTGAATGATAATTCCCCAAAACAGAAATCTCTAGTCATAAACAGTCAGCGAGTCTTGGCGTGAGGGAGTAGATGCGAAGCAACTCAACTGTTTGAAGCGCACTGTGGACTGCAGGTACTGGATGAGGATAAGGAACTGCACCAGGACATAGCGGCGGAAGTTGCTGTCGCTCAGCTCCAGCTCGAGCAGCTGCAGCACACATAAAAGAGAAGAAGGCCGATATACAGCATGTCTGAAAAGAAACCTCAGAGCTTAAAAGAGACATCAAAAGCCAGTCACTGGACGTGGCAAGCCACCATTTGTATGAACCATTTATTTTATCAGTTTAAAATGACATACTCAAACTTGAACAACCAAATCCCATTATGTCCAAATCAAAAAATGGCAAATCGATAACTTCTGTGGCAGGATGACAACCATTAGACCAGTATGGTACATCCTCTCATACACCTGCCAAAAGTAGCGTCATTCGTACCATTAAGCTTCGATGCACTCAATGGCATTGAAACAGTTTATTGTTGTACACTGTATGCTGCTCTTTTTAGGCATGTTAGTGAATACCTTTGTTTTAGCCTACACTGTGCATGCATTAGCCTTTTAGAAAACCTCAAAAGATAAGGTTAAAAAAAATGCCCCCAGCTAAACATGCTGTACTTTGCATATACGCACCATTTTCAATGAGTGACATTACTTTAAAAATAAAGAGACAGGCAGGAGCTACTTAGCATCATGTAAATATGGTAGCACTCCTGACATATCTAGTTTTAGCCTACTGTAAACAATCGTTTGGCGTGAAGTCTGTACATGGCTTGCACATGACATCATCGTACAATGCTTGTGGTCAATCATACTCCTTCTTGCTAAGAAAGACAAATTCGTTAGCGTGAAATGCAAGCTGCAAGAATGTTCGGGGACATGACGTAACGCGACAGTTTAAAAACGTCTGAACTAAAGCTACGCTGCGCAAGATAGAAGAAAACCCTGCAACTGGATACGAGACCTCTACGAGGCGACACAAGGGGAAACAAGACGACGCACGTTACGGTGAGGAAGTGAAGAATGTTGGGAATTATTGTGGACAAGATCCATCCGGCCAAATCCCTCGGATGACCCACCTTTTGGCTCGTGAGGTACTTTGCAAAATAGACGGACTTTCCCGACAAGGCAGCTGCGTCTTCGGGCAGAGTCCACTGTGCCGATTTGATGTCGTCCAGTTTGAAGCTCCCGAACACCGAGAGCACGTCCGAGGAATACTGGAAGAAGGTCATGACGATTGTACAATCCTTTGCGGCATCGTTTTAGAGGGACGCTGTCAACATATCTGTGCTGGCCAATATCTTTACTAAAAATAAAGTACAAAGGTCCATCTAGAACCCCTGAATAAGCTATGCTTGGAATGTCGGCACGCCATTTCCCGAGTGTCTTGTGGGCGCCGCCATTTTGGTGCATGGAGCACAGCAGTGCAAGTTTAACATTTCTGTTTTAACATCTAAAATTAACATTTCTCTTCTAACATTTAAATGCAACATTTCTGTTTTTACATTTACATTTCACATGTTATATATATATATATTTCTGTTTCTGTTTCTTTATTAACATCTTTAACATTTGAATTCAACATATTTGTTTTAATATTCCAATATAAAATTTCTGTTGTAACAGTTAAACTTGATATTTCCAAAGGACAGAAAAGCGTTTCCGGCGATTTTGGATAAAACATCAAATAACTGGCAACAATGATTTTTGCCCCAAGATGGTTGAAGAGTCGTTAATCCAACGAGTAGCTTACTGTAAATTACTTTATTTTTGTGAATTTCGAGACATGTATAATGTTGCAAGAAATAGGTCCAGCTACTTGTTTTGCTATGGTGACAGATGCATACTGTGCCACCCTGATTCGCAAAATTTCGTGTCCGCAAAATATTTCCGAAAAACACACTTCACCGAATTTGAAAAATACCGAGCCCATGTAAATGAAGTCATTCACAGTATTTAGAGGAGCTAGGCCTAATAATAAACACTAAGCAAATTATTAGCGATTGACAAATGGCACTGTGCTAAGAGGCTTATACTTATTAGAGCTCGTCAACTCGAAGAAGCTAAGCAGGAGAGCCAAACCCCCCTGAAAAGCTAAACCCCTGGAGAAACCCTGGCAGCTGTACTGAATTCTTCCAAGCTTTCACCAGAAGCTTTTACTTTAATACTTTGGCCGAAAAAGCTAAAACGGGGAAAGTGAGTCGCACGAGGCAGGTGTTGCCAGAACTCACAGATGTGAACTGGCGCCAGTGTACTTTGTTGTAGCAGAGCGTGGGCTGCCGGAAGTACTCTTGGAGGGACCAGAACTTCCGATACAGGTTGTAATCCACCGACAGGGTGGCAGTGCTGGAAAAGTAAAGAATTCGACCCACGTAAAGCTGACATATTTATTGCGGCTCCAACAAGTACCTGCGAAAGGATGAACAGCGTGTGCCTGACATTGGGAGATGGTGCAAACGCTCATTCGCACTTTGCTCACGCACCGACTTCACGAAAAAGAAGGAAGTTTTACATTTTTGTTCTCCCCACGCCCTCATCCAAGCGAAAGGGATAGAAGAGGGAAAGAAAAGTTTGTTAAAAATCCATGCGAGGTCGATCTGAAAAACAGGCAAGCGAGGCACGGCAATTCGAGGGCTACACCAGCACAGCATTCGTAGTGGCTTCATGCACTGCGTAAGCAGAAATACCTTCAGTTGAAGTTTCATGACGACTCTTCTGAGGTGCACAATGGCAATGCGAATAACCTACAATTTAGTTAACAGATGTAGAGGCTTGTCCACACAGTTGCAACCGCATAGGATCGTGTACCTTAAAACCTCTTTCGAGAGGATACACTGATGTTGCCTATCAAGTGCCGTGGTCCGGTACTAAGCAAATGCGAGTGTGTGAACGGGCCTTATAGGGGCACCCAAGTGGAGTCTGAGATCATGTATTTATGGTGATAACTCAACATACAGGCTCTAAGCTAGCTAACAAGCCAGATATTACACTGATGAGTCATGGGCAGGCGATTTCGTAATTAAAAATCGAATTAAAGATTGTGATGTGCCCCTCTTTTTGCGCCTTGGAGCAGACACCAGGGAGGCTATGCAAGACGGCGGGACGAGGCAGGACAAAAGGAGATCGCCTCCCACTGTGATTGGTCAGCGTTGCACCGCCAACCAATTGCAACGGGCGGCAACGTCCCGGTCCTTTCGTCTCGCTGTCCTGCATAGCCCCTTGGGGGGCGCCGTTGGACGGCATTTTCAAACGATAATTGCTGTATTACGTCTCTTACACCCAAAAACTTGACGATTTTGTCGAAATATAACGCACAATGTGCCTCAAAAGAGCAACGGCACCCGCCATGTATTTCTACTGCTGTGAGCTTACTAGGACGTCTTGCCATCCAGAACTGGCCATTCTTATTGACTAAAGCCCAACAAACAAAATGCCATCAAAAAGGAGCTTCTACAAAAAAACCACTCCAGTGCTCCTTTAAGACAACCACGGTGATAAGCGTTGGCACGACCCTCGCAGTCAATCAGACCGTCATAGAAATATAAGCCAACCCCATCGTCTGCTAGTCGCATAACGAGGCTCACCTGCTGATGTCATCCGTTTCGCCTTCTTCGAGGTCGTCGTCAGGGCTCCCTTTCATCGGCATCCCTTTGTAGTCTTCGGAGCTGAACAGCGTGATGTTTTCCGAGTTGAACTCGCTGATGATGTTCAGCCCTGCTCGGATGAGTTCGACCGCAGCAATTAGGAAAACGTAACGGAGTAACGAATGGAGCTCTGAGTTTTCGGCAAGTACTGACAATCCCCGAAAATTAACTGCCGAGCCGGTTTCGCCAAAATCTGAGAAAAACCCAAAACAAAAAAACCCATTTGAGCTGTCCTTGGACAATAAACAAAAACAAACAGTAAGTTTGCGGGACGAAAACTGTTATCGATTGCTTTATTCTATGCTGACTGAACTGTCCACACCGAACTGACTGGAAGGCTGCTCGTTTCCTCGGCAACCACAACTTTCCTTTTGCTTCCTTCTCTTATTGGTACCGGTGTAATTTTCAGTTATGTGGGTCACCCGCATGTTCCCCGGGGGGGGGGGGGGGGGGGGGGGGGTTGGAAATTCCATGCTTAGGTCTTGTTGTCCTCAGCCCTGATAAATTCCCATGTTTGGCCCGACACCAAAAGTAGACGCTGGAAAACGTTATATTTGAGGGCAACAATCCCCCCCCCCCCCCCCCACCCCTTGAATTCAAAGAAACAAACCCTTCCGAAAACAAACTACGAAGCATGAGAGGAAGGGAGATGGAAATCGGCCTCACCCGATCGTTCCGACAGCGGGAACAGTTTGGCCAAGAAGACCAGGATCTTCCCGCAGAACACGGTGTTCTGAGACCTTGAGAGCCTCCGCAGAAGATCTGGGTTTTGAACACATTCAAAATCAAAACCGCGAAGAAAAAAAAAAAGGAGAAAAAAGAATTGTTTCATATAGATCTGTATGTCACTGGTTAGCATTGCAAGAATCTTTTTTGTCCTGCATTTCCTTTACGTAAAAAGAAAAGAAAATGTTCAGGTCACCCAGATGCAGGGTGGCCTCAATCCCGTCCTTTTAATTTCTTTCTTGATTCGTGTTTCACTCAATTTTTTATTTAGATTCTTTAACATCGCTATGTTTCTAGTATTGGCATTTCACACATTGCTATCATTGCGTACATGTAAATACAAATCTCACGACTTCTCCCACATTTTTGCTTTTCCCCTCGTGTAATACATCCCTCAATATATGCCTTTGAGGTAAAAAAATAAATAAATGAATGAATAAATAAATTAATTAACTAAATGCGCAAACATATTTTCTTAAAATATAAAACGGACAAAGGACTTTAATTACAGCACATATTTCTAAGGTGTAAACAGATTCGTGATCGCGGAGCAGTTATGCAACAAACAACAACTGTTAGAATGTACCCACCATTGCACGTTCTAAGCAGCTGGTTCTTGCAGTTTTTAAAGAACAGCTCCTGGGGAAAGCCAAAATACACGAGTTAATAACTCAAACACTGATGCTGAACAGTTCGCACAATTCCCCGTAAAATATCAAGCATGCACCCATGTCACAATAGGCGCCAACAGCTCCTATACCGCTCCCCCGTCGGATCAAAGAAGGGCCTTCCCTGTTATGTGCTACTTCTGCATTTTCTGCAGTCGGACCTAAGAAGCGCCCATCCCAGTTTTCTTTTGCGACAGTCTCCAACTTTTATGTGGTACTTGCTGCTCGGTATTTTGCGGTAATGTCCAAGCGCGTGGGGAAACAATGCCTGCCTCTTTCCAGGTGTCGACTTTGTCTTCGACGAGCGAAAAGAACTCCTCGCTCTCATTCAGTGGCAGGCTGTCGAACATGTCGCAGAACAGGAGTCCTGGCAGGCTGCCCGAGCACACCTCTGAAACGTGCAAGCGACGATGAACACGACGAATGTCAGCATCCCAACACGGGAGTCCAATTCCTCTAAATGTTAGAATTCTTCTTAATTTGAACTTTTTTTGTGTGTGTGTGAAACTATATTTGCTTTGGACAGTGCCATAAAAATATACACTCATCAATTAAAACTGTCCACTAATCTAATCTCAAATTCCCAAAAAGGCAAAACCTCACACTTGCACATGTTTGTAAAACTGCCGACAAAGAATATGCCGCCAAATGAACCACACTTGATTATGGCAGTTCAATGGTTAAAGAAGCCCCCCCCCCCCCCCCCCCCCCTCCCCCCGTGAAACGATTTCTCTGCTTACAAACACTTCCTTTCGTTAATAATTGAAAGTTATTATTGCCTTAGTTTTTAAATAATTGCCTTAGTTTTTCTTTCTAGGCAACGGCAGTTGCCGAACAAATTAGAGAAATATGAGCATCATTCATCCCCACAACTCGGAGCCAGAACAAGCGGCCACATGGCCAGGTGCCTATCCTATGCTGCCAACGTTAATCATAGCCACACACTGGGGTTGGCAAAGTAAAAAACGCATGCTGAACTCTGGGCATTGTTAGAGTTTGGCTATTCTCATCCCCGCAGTGCTTGGACACAAGCCACTACCCGAGTGTCCGCCGAGGCATCGATTTGTATGAGCCGTAGTCGAATGCTCATGCAGTTCTCGTGTGCAATCCATGCACTGCACTCGACTGTCATCAGGCGGGCGGTTTCGATCCCACAATTACGTCATCAAGCTTTGCGAAGGCGACTGAAAGAAATGGTCCCCTTTTCTCCTCGCAATTTCACCGCAAGAAAGAAGCTGCTGAATCAGAGGCGGTCTGCGCGAGTATACTTCAGCCAGACTAGGACCGGACGCCTCTGCAAAGTCATGAACATTCCAACCCGACATTGTTTTATGACCCCTTTAATGTACCTGAACTCAAAAGATAAATTAACAAAAACTATGAAATTGCGCCCCACAGTGCATACTGCGATAGAATAGGCCCTTGCATTATGCACCTGGCTGCTGCTGCACATTAATGGCCTCAAGTCAGCAGCTGTGTTGCACTGGCCATATTTCTTACCTCCAGCACAAACCAGTGTGGCTGTACAAAAGCAGAATGACCTCATACTATCTACACATTTCATATCTAGTTTTATTTTCTTGCTCTTGGCTACCTGGAATGTTTCATCAACTTAACTGACCTTTAACGGTGAGCGCAATGGAGAGTTTAATGATTTCGTCTGCCGGCCTCCTTTCCAAGCCCGATCGCTGAAATGAGTTAGAAAGAAGAACCGAGACATTAACACGCAATTAAAGTCTCACAAACCTCTGCAAAGCTGTCAATCAACCAGCCTCCGAATTCTGGTGTGAGAGTTTCTCGGCACGAATGTGCACGAGCGAACGCAAAAATTCCTTTGAGAAATGAAGCTGGACCCTTCTGGCTCCACAGAGCTATGCTCACAAAACAGCATATTGTTCCCGTTGTGGCCCACTTCTCGCCTTCAAAGATCCTTTTGAAACTTCTCCCGTCCCAATGGCGCCCTCAGACTCCTCGAGTTTCCTATCAAAGAATCCTTAGTGAAGTCTCCGTTGAAGAGCAGCAGTTCTTTCATTAAACATGAATTTGAGGGCACATAAAAAAATTAAAAAAAGGGTCAAATGCTACAACTTGTAGTTAGATCATGCTGCTGGAAAGTACCTATCTAACACCTACATTCCGATAGTCCGTGAGACCCCAGCATTTGCAACTTTCAGCGATGGTGGTAGCACGTGTAAGAATCACAATCCTTGGCTCCAGGATGATAGGCTTCGGAATGAAGGTGGTTGCTTGCACCTTCTTGACGTGAAAGAATGAGGTAAGACTATTGTATCACTCGTATTTCAGAAAATTAGAATTACTTACACGTCGCGGACCCAACCTCGTACTGCCAACGATGATCTAGGTGACAACCATTTCAATAGGAGCTAGTGCGCCCCTAAGCGGAGTGCGAGTTCGTCTGCTTCTCGAGCAGGGGTTGCGGTGACGTCAGAACGTCAAGCTCTGGTTGGTTCCGATTGGAAGGATAGCGGGTAGGCCTCAAGGCAGCTAGCATTGAAGTCTACTCACCATCCCTCCATTAGAGCCGATCAGAGCTCGACGTTCTGACGTCAGTGCGACTCCTGCGCCAGAGGCAGACAAACTTGTGCCCTGCGTAGGCCGTGAAAGTTGCAGACAGTGTGCATCAAAATTGACATTAACCCTTATCATTGCGGTCACAGTAAGTGCTTGTCGCTGATTGGCTGATGGTTCCAACCTTATGAGAGACACCTGGGCCGACTTGCTAGAACAGCGTCTCAGCTGAGAGTGGGCGAAAGAAAGTACTGCAAGGGCTGGGGCGTGCGAGCGTCTTGAAACGCGATTTGAGTCCTTCACATCTCGTGCGCTGGCTTTGGCAGTGCTTTTTTCCTCCAGTCTCAGCTGAGACGCCGTTTCTAGCAAGCCAGCCCTGTTGAACCATTGAAATGCTTTTATGATTTGTTGAGCCCGATAAAGGTGACTATATGGCTATGGCTATTCTGAAAATCGCACAAAATTTGCCTTCCGCCGCCAAAGTTAAGGCCAGGAGGGGGGCCAACTGACATACCTTCCTGCCATTCTTATCCTTTCAGTGACTGGGGCGAGTGTAATGATCAAGCCGAATGAAAATTTAACTTGCCAGCAGAAGTGTCAGCACGTTTCGGGTGGCCTGATCTACAGTCTGCCTCAAGTTGTCCCTGAAAAAAAGAACCGGTAATTAAGTGAGTCATTAGAATCACTGCTGTCTGCATCCCCTTCAGCGATCATAAAATTTAGACAAAAAAAAAAAAAAATGTCAGTACTTACCCGTCTAGTACAGACACCGTTTTAATGTAATGGACGATATCATCGACGGAGCGTTTCCCGTCCAGAAATCGTTTGATTAATGTCTGAAACAAAACGTAGTAAATAAAAAAAGATTTAAATAATATTAGAATGCTACGGAGTCCGCAGTGTCAGAGCCAAAGGAGCGCTGAACGTGAGCTCCAGACGAGATACATCTTTAGAGGTCGAAGAGAAAACGAGTAGGCTCACCTCCAATTCATCGATGAGGACGCTGAAAGGCACCAACTCGGACATCCTGGAGCTGTTATTTACAAACCGCGAAGAGAAGTAGTGTAAAATTTAATTGTCGAAGAACACTTTGCTGCAAACGCCGGAGAGTAAACACAAGACAGCCATTCAACTTGAACGCAAGCACCATTCAGGAACCGAGAAAAGATTGATCTATTCTACGACAGATGGCGATACAGCTTGAAGAAGTAGCGCCACCTATTTTAAGATAAATCAATTACGCAAGTTTTTGTTTATTGTTAAAAAAAGAAGTTTTTTTTTTTCTCATGAGGCAACATCACACTAAAAAATAATAATAATAAAACAAATGCTAACGGCACTTGATGTAAAATAATAACAATAATAAAAAAAACACACCAAAAAACACTAATAGTTTCGGTTTCCCTTTGTGTTGTGCGCATAAACGTCGATGTTATTTGTCGATAAACGAAAGAAGCGTGATGCTGGTGCGGCATAAAAAGCATAAAGGCTAAATTCCGTGGAGCGAATATAGAACGAACAAGTGACGATTCTCACCCGATGGCGTATTCAAATATATTAAAGTGTTCCAAAAATAGAGTTGGCAGGGCCATGTTCATGCAGGTGCCAAGAAGAACGCGAAACAAATGGCACGGTTCAAGGTGTTTGCACCCGTGCGGAATCCTGTCCTGCTTTTCTATGTGCATAGACTTATTTCTTGTAATCTCTTCGTTGTAATTAGTATTTTCGGATAAATCCGATAAAGTTTGAAAAACACTCGCCAGTAAAATTTTCGTGGACTCGGGGATATCCGAAAAACACAAAATTTCGAGGTCACAATTAAAAAAAAGAAAAGTATTTTACAAATAAGTTTGTTTATAGCAGAGCGTCAGTGGTCCTGGCTCCAGTTTCCTTTAAAATCTCGTACTATTTGACAAAAGGGAGTTTACCGTTTATCTCGTCATGTTTTGTGAAGGACAACGGATCATTATAATTTTAGATCACGACAAAAGCAGCTGTTCTAGTTTTCAGTTTGCAGATCTTAGAAAAATGCGCGGCTGTGTTTTTACCACAAGGAAAGCTATGATCAAAGGAGGAAAGGGACATCTAAATGTTCTGTTTCACCACACCACCCAGCGCAGCCGCAGGGCGGAGCGCTGAAATGGGATGGGATAGGGGGTATTCACTGGCCGCCATATTTGAGGTCACTGTTTAGAGCGCATGCTTAGAACGAGCTCGCATTAATAGGCTGCCAAGACCGGCAATCTCGATGGTGCGGGGTGCACGTTGCAAAATAACTGTGGAAGCTCGCCATCAGCACGTGCTCAGCATTAGCGCACACAGATATGGCCGCCAGTGAATACAACCTAAAGGGAGCCTTCATACACTTTCGCCACGTCTGTTTTAGGGTGGCGGCATCTCGGTCATTTCTGTGCCCAGCATGCACGCGCTTCGATCTCGTTCGAAGCGAGCGCTTAGCTCTGCCCGGTGGTTTGGCGCCATTTTAAGGCCCATTTGGCACGCGCAGGCAGTTTTCAATACAACAATGGGTGTCTTCACCCTATGACAGACGCACATCGAGGCACCCTAGGATGGGAAGAAAACGAGCCTTCCAGAGACTACGCCAAGGATTTTAGTGATTTCAATGTACCGACGTTTATTAAAGCAAGTTTTGCTTTGGGACGAATAGCATATATTACCACTGAGAAGGGCGCGGGTGGCAATTCAGCTGAAGAAATATCATTCGACACATGCGAGTTCATATAAATTTAGGGGTGGTTTGTGTCGTTTCGCCGACTGGGGCTTGCGGGGAGAAGATATTTATTTATAACTGCGTCAGCGTTCATTGCTGATGCCCACTTTCTTGGATCTCCCGCAAGGAGCCCAACTCCAAACAAATTCTGTCCGCCCGCCGAACATTGCTCTTCTATATATGCTCAGCCAGCCCTAGCGTTCGATGAAATGCAGCGGAAAGTACGAGCCATCCCAGCCAAATCCAGCGCTCACGCGGTGGGTGTTCCAAAGATTCTTTTTTTCCCTTCGAAACTGGGACGGAAAATGTTGGATGAACTAAAGGATGCACACTACGTTTATCAAGCGCTTGCAAAACTCACTAGGTTTGAAATAAAAGCGATTCTTTGTTTCATTTTCGGCTCCTGTTCGGCATTAGATAAAGGACCCGTACAACTTGATTTAAAAAATAAAAACAGAAATAAATTTAGTACATAGGAACCAAAAACCTCAGAGCCCACGCTGCATAATCGAGACTTTTAAATATATTATTTTCTGTCGAAATCGCGGCTTATACGAGAACATTGTGAAAGCTTACATGAGCGCAAACAGCAAAATTCGGCACAAAGATTTGTACACATGACGCGCAAAATTATTAAACCGGAGACGGACATTTGGGGAAATACTTTTGAAAAAAGTTGTTCTTTATTATTATTTTTTTTTTTTTTTTTTTTTTTGCGTTTGCATGCGTTTGACACGGTGCCCAATGTCTGGTTGACGAGATTATTAGTCGACGGGAATGAACTCCGCCACAGCTCCTCCAAGTGCCTTCTTCAGGGCTTCAACCGTGTCGCTACGGGCATCTTCGTCGCCCGCTGAAAGCGGTACAAAATAATAGACAGATTAGAAACTTCAGTCAAGCCACAAATTTTTGACGTGGTTAGTAGAAATAACAAAGCAATTTTTCATAATAGTGTTATTTTTCTATATGCAGTCCAATCTACTACTTTAGAAATAACTGGTACCACCTGGCAGAACAGAGGGTTCGAGGATTCCGAGGATGAAACGATGCGCGGATTAGGCGAGGAAGGGAAGAAGCGTCTTAGAGCGAATTCTTGGGGAAGTAAGCATAAGACATTTGCAAGTACGGCCTCTGGGAGCCGCCATCTTGATGCTGCTGTGGGTAGACTGCTGAGGCGTATCCACGACCTCAGCAGTGCGTGACCATCAGACGGTCTGTCCACACCAGGAGCAAGATGGCGGTGCCCAAAATCTGGCTTCCTTGGCCGACGTAGGCACCATAGTCGAGGGACAGCCCGCGCTGGTGTGCAGCACGTGTTCACTTATTTTTATACCGGAACTTACTGAATTTGCGATTTTATCAAATGGTCCATTACCTCTAGAATTTGCGAATTGATATTTTCCCCCAAAATAAAGCGCTATGAAACCAGCGGAAGCCACCGAAACCGAAACTTTTATCGAAAATTCAAAAGAAAGAAAAACGTTACAACGCAGTCAACTTCAGCGCATAAAAGAGAGAAAACAACAACTTATATTGCTTTTTCTTTTTTTTTTTTTTTTGTGGGAAACAAAAAAGTTTGTAATTGAGGTTTCCCCAGAAGGGAATGCCGAGTTCCAACAAACCTTTACACATATTATAGAAAATGTCTAGAAGTAGTTAAACATTGAAATTGAGTAATCCGATGATAATGCAATTAATGCAAAGATGCAAGCGAGCTGGAAAATAATGATGAAAATAATCTCCGGAGACAAGGGGGACAAAAGACAAACACAAATCTCCCATCTGAGTTTGTTTTTCTAGTGGAAATGAAACCTAATTCGATAGACGATGTTGGCTCATTCAGTGGCTTATGTGCGTCCCAGAAATTCTGGAAAACAACAACAACAACAACTCGGCAGACATATTTTTTGAACAAATAAGATATTTCATACTCTCACCTCCGCCAGGACCTTCACTGCCTTCTTCCTCTGAAAGTGATTAGGAAATGATCGGCTTTTAGCCCGCCCAGCAATGTACCTTTTTCATACAAAGACGACACCAGAGTGCTAAAGCTCGAAGTGCGATTGGAGTCCGGAAAGCGCGTTGCGCTACCTCTCGTTCCGCCTTTGCGCCTCGGATGAGTCGCGGACGACACAGGAGAGGTAGTGCAACTCCCCCTCAACGCCAACCGTAGTTCGTGCCTTCGCCTGCGCATGCGCAGAACTCTAAACGGTAAATTGATTTGCGACAAAAAGAAAGGTTACCTCTAATAGGCTTAATCTGGAACAAAATAGCTAACTGTTTGTCTGTCGTCTTGCTCACGTCTCCAGTAACGCCTTGCTTGGGGTCTGAACAAAAAAAGGAAGAAACAAACAAACAACACCTTATCATTAAACATAATTCAGCATTTTATTTTATTTTTCCCCGTTTACACTGATACTTCGAGATCCTAAGATTTGGCTGTTGAGTCACTATGGTCAAGCAATATCAGGTATACGCACAGCAAAATCACTAAAATGCACTTGAGTCAAGTTGCCAGGCAACATATATGCCAGAGTTTTTGACATAAAATACATTTGAGTAGAAAACTTTAACAAAAGGGTTGCACCAACAAACTCTCGAACACGACTGCTAAATTTCCACGCCAAGTTATAGTATTTTGCAGGTTATAACGAACGTGGCCTGGCCACTTGACCCAAGTGCATTTTAATGGGCTGCTATTCACTATTTTGGCACGTGCTTTTTCTTTGTGCGTACCTGATATTGCTTGACCATACTGACTCAACAGCCACATTTTTGGCTTTCAAAATATCAGTGTAAATAAAAAAAAAAAGAATGCTGTACGAATAGACAGACAACTTCCTCCCCACAAGGCCAACCATTCCTTCCACTTTACAGAGTGAACGCTGGAAAGGAGGGGAATAGAGAGGAGAAAACAACCAGTCATGGCGAGGAAAGAGGGTTGTGGGAGGGATTCGCCCTACTTTTCTCAACCTGCAACATACTATAACTGATTAGTTTTATTATTTGATTTATTAATAAACACGACGGCAATTAAAAAAAAAAAAGACGCGACAACTGAGTTTTTTTAACTTTCTTAGAGTCTTGCATAATAAATGTCTTCACATTTTTTTTTTCTTCTCAGATTTGCGAGAGGGGGAGCATCTGCACCTGCGCTATGCCAGCAGCAGCGCCGTCACTTTACAGCCGCGCCTCGAACCGTCACAAAGAGCGTATTTCAGAGGCACGTTCGCGACAAATGGAGTCACAAATGCAACGTCTGTTTTCTTTTCCGGTGCGTTTTACTCGTATTAAAACTTACCAGATTTGGAACTGATGTTGAACTTCTCGCGCTCGAACACTTCGGAGCCTCCAATGGCGTGACCCACAATTTTCAGCGAGTCCACTAGAATACAGAAGCACAAGAACGGCAACATTAAAGATCCAATTCTCCCGTGCGCGCTCGTGCACCCTGATCCCCAATCTCAAAGATGTGCACGCACACTTTTTACAGAATCGTGTCGACATACAGGATCGTGTCCTGTCATAGCCTCCTCTATACGGAGAAAGCCTGGCGCGTCGCAAGAAAAAACGGCCGCCGTAAATGGGAAAGGAGGGGCGGAGAAACGGGAGCGGAGAGAACCTTGCCTGCTAGCGCCACAAAAGAGCGAGCGGCCAAACGCAGAAACAATCTTTTTTTTTTCTCTCTCTTTTCTTGTCGCTATCGTGGAGAGGAGAAACTCAACGTCCATCCTTTCCCGTTTCTCCCTGCGCCCTTTCGAATCGCCGTGCCCGTTTCTCCCGGAGTACGAAAACGACGGTGACGAAAACACAAAAACAAGCGTGGTTCGGGGAGCGGCCGCTCATGACCCAAGCGCTCGCTGTCTAGGTCTGCCCTTCCTGCTCTGCGCTACCATATTGGTCACCGTTCGGCGCGCTCCTCCTCTCCTTTTTCCTGCGGCCGCGCGCCCTATGGCTCCGTCGTCGATGTGCCAGGCTTTCTCCGTATAGAGGAGGCTATGGTCCTGTATGTCGACACAAACCTACCTCACCTACCTTGACCTACCTGAACAGCTACCGCCATCTATAAGCGACGGCGGCGAGCACACAACCAGTATGGTTTCCGCCGTTGCTCGTAGATGGCGCCAACCTTTCCAGGCTCTAGCTATACACGTTTGCAAGTCCGGTCTCAGGGCGCCGCCATCTTCCTCAGTGGGGTGCGCTCTCGGGAGCGGCCATAATCCGATTACGACGCCTTAGCAAGGCTTCGTAATCGGATTATGACTGGTCCAAGCGCACCCCAGACAGGCAAGATGGCAGCACCCTGAAGCCGGACTTGATGGATAGTTGGGCGCGTTGGTGAGAATTCCCCATGGAGAATAGAAGGGTAGGAGAGGGCATGACGTCGGCCGCGTAGCCTCCACAAGCCATGCTCCCTTGACGCCTCGCCTCTTTCTCATTTTCCTCTTTACTCTCCTCACTTACCATGCCAACGTGACCACTTCACGTGACCGTAGCTAGACTTCGTCTTGCTGTGGGGTACTAGAATGCACCACAGTCCAGACTTCGACCTGATAAAACCTACCGGACGGAGCGCGCGCAAGCCTGCAAGGGTCTTTCTACAATCAACCACCCATCTCACACGTGACATGTCACGCGCACCAATCGCCAGAGAGATCTGCGGTCACGCTGGGCACAAAATCGTTTAAACTTTTTATGACTAGGCTTCACCAATATTGCAACGTGCCCCCTCCTAGTACTTCTAACCTCCTTGGAATTCACCGTAGGAAACAGCGCGAAAAACAGACGACGACGAAGAAGAAGCACACAGTGTTTCGAGTACAGCTCCGCTGGTCTTCCTTCTTCATGAGAGTGGAAAGGCTGAACGTTTTCCCTTCTCTGAAATGACATAGAGTATGGCCTGGCTCTGACACCATGCAGACACACAAAAAAGAAATCAAGTCGGACTGATAGCAAAGCAAACATAAGAAAAAAAGAAAAAAAATAGTGCAGCGCATCGCCTCATGCGACAATATACACAAAGGAATGGTGTATTTTTTTTAAGTATGAAAATGATCAAGTTGCTACTAATCCCCATATTTACTCTTCTTTTTCCCAATTAATAAGTGTCGTGAATAGCGTTAAGAATTAAAAAGCTAAGTTTGTTGAGCGTCGTATACTCGAGTCAATCGCTACCAGAACAGAAAATGAACAGTGAAGTTAATGCAAGGATGCAGTCGACCTGGTTAAGAACTGACAAGTTCTAACCCTGCAGAAGGGGAAACAGAAGGACAACACAAATATCAGGGTTATGAAAAAAAAAAAAAAAAAGAGTCAAAATGAACAATCTGTGGCTCAGATATCTGACTCCATTATTTCATGCCGTGTGCAGTTTTTAATTAAAATCCGCAGTACCATAACTGTGAGTCGGTAAGAACTCCAGCTGCAGCAACACGATCAACGCATCGTACCATCACATACTCATACAGCTGTGGCTACGCCATCACCGCACAGACGCGATATCAAAACCTTCGATGAACTGCGAAACTACAAAACCGGCAATTCTCATTTCGATTTCCATCGTAGAGCAAGCCGCCTTGTATAATCACGTAATATACCGTAGCCACGACGCTACCTTGTCGTAGCACTGTAAAACAGTGCGCAAAGAGATACATCTCACCCTGCTGAACGCAGAAGGCCACAAGAATTGCGCCGGCGATCTGTGAGGGACTCATGGTTAGGTTCGGGATGCCTGGGTCAGGAAGCGGTTGTCCAAAGCAGCTCCCCGAAGCTCTTTTTGTAGCCTATGAAAATACTCGGTGCAATGTATCAGAGAGGCTTCATTTGTCTTTGTATATGTCCAGTTATGGTGGTAGGCAAGTGCAAAGCCCCGGTTGCTGTCTTCCACAAATGACAGATGCAAATCGCCCAACAAGCGGTCCGTTCTAACACGAACAAACAAAAATTCAAAACGGAGTCAGACACCCTTTCTCCAACTCCTGCCCATTAATCTGTAAGAAAAAAAAAAAGTCAGCTTGCTTTTTGCAGACAATTTTAAACTGGTTTCTTCAATTTTGATGCACGAAGAGGATGATGTCATGCGCCACAAACGTGGTGATTGGTTGAAGGCTGTCGTTTCATTGCATTGTTAAAAAACTAAACGATAAAAAAAAAAAAAAAAAAACGAATACAAAGACCGGCTATAACAGTCTAGACTAGACATCGTATCTCTCCCGAGAGTCAAGTAAAAACACCATAAACGAGGAACAGATAAGTTACTGCTAGCCCCTATGAGAGAAAACAGGGCCGAGTCAAAGCCGCAATACTGCATGCATTAATCAATGACGACCGACTGCATAAGATGTCTAACGACGGCGAAACCCGCTTTTTGTTAGGGATCTGAGCATCGTAACGTTGTCTTGCTGTCCAGCGTCCTGCGCACCATGTTGAAGGCTACGATCCTGGTGGCGATCTTGCTGTGCCATTGTGCTCAGTTTGGTAAGGCGTAATGCATTTGTTTCTGTTCCGTTCGAAATGAAGTCTCTCGATGTATGACGCCAGAATATTTCAGGACCTAAAATATTTGTTGCGCGAAGATATCATCTCGGCCGTAAATGGTTTCTGCTAAAGCCACTCGTGGAGCATCGGCACCCCGTTCCCCGATTATCTTACGGGCACCTCCATTTTTGTGCTTACAGACGAAAGTCACCATTTGAAGATCCGACATCCTGAGCTTAAAAGCTGGTTCTCACACTTGTTATTGCTTAGGACCGTGTACCTTAAAAATTCGATAGAAACCTTTTCCGACGAGAGAACAGACTGCGCCATCAATCGGGTAGCCGTGGAACACTGCGTTTCCGTATAGTTCCTTTTTTTTTTCGCGCATTATTCTTTTTTTTTTTTTATCGCATTTTTTTTACGATGTTATAAATTATTATTTTACACAGATAATACGTACATTTGATCACGGAAATACGGCAAAATTTTCGCTCTAGTGAAATACAGTTCCAGGGCCACCTCATAGATGGCGCCAGGTGCGAGTCTGTTCATTGGTCTGTTCTCTCGTTGTAAAGGCGCGTTCACACTCTTGCAACCGAGTACGACCGAGAAAGACTTCTTGAGACCGGATGCGCTGAGCGGAGCTGGTCCTAAGAGATCGCAAGAGGCTTAAAAACCGGTTTGGTCTCTCTCGGTCGTACTCGGTTGCAAGAGTGTGAACGGGCCTTAAGAGATTAGACGGTTCTAAGAAGTCGCAAGTGTGTGAACGGGCCTTTGGATACCATGTCAGGAAGCTCAGGCGATATTCTCTCGCTTTGTCGCGGTCTGCTTTGATATCTCTGGGAGACGGATAGCCGTTTCCGGCGATTTCAGACGAAGCTTTTGATAGCAGATTAAGCACCAAGGTGGCTAGAGTATCTTTACTCTCAAGCGTGGGTTATTTAGTGCAGGCCCGTTCACACATACGTTAGGACCGACCGAGACAGGACCGGTTTTTAAGCTTCTTGTGACGGCTTGCGACCGGCTCCGCAGCAGCGCATCCAGTTGTAAGCCGTCGGAAGAGGCTTAAAAACCGGTCTTGTCTCAGTCGGTCGTAACTAGGGTGCCTATATGGAGCGGCGGAAACATGTAGGCACCCTAGTCGTAACAATACCACCTAAAACACAAGGCCTGCGCGTTTCCTCCTCTAAACGCCATCACTAGCATATACCCTCAGCGCTTTTTAGGTAGCCCGGATGAGCAATACATCGCCTGCGGCATCCTGTGCGGCATCATCTGCTCCATCGCCTGCTTGAGTGGTCATGCTCAGAACGAGCTCACATTAATTGGCTGCTAAGACCGGCAATCTCGATGGTGTCGCATGCATGCTGGGACGGCGCCAAAGGGAGGCGAGGGGTTGCGGGCGCCTCCCTTAAAATTTGTCCTGCCACCCCAAAAATATGCCAGCCTTTACACCCCCCCCCCCCCCCTCCTCACCCTAATTTTCGCGCGCAGACCCACAGTCGCTACATGGCTCATCATTTTCCTAATTTCCTCGTCCCATCGAAAAGGCATTGGCTTGAAGGATAGCCAGCCCAGAGCCTAGCCAGCCTAAAGAGGCCTCATACCGGACGTTTTCAACTTTTTCATGCCGTCCGCTTTATTTTCTTTACGTACCCCATGAAGAACGATGCATGAATATCGGTATGGCTTGCCGAAGGTAAGGAGTTTCGTTTACCACTCAATTCCTTTGTCGCCAACCATAAAAGACTTCCTGAAAGTAGCTTCACCCTAGTGAAGTTCCCAATGGGCGGCTGTGTTGATGTGTATAGTTCATCCTGCTTATTTCGAGTCTCTATGGGGTCCGCGAAGCAACTTTAGTGACGGCGACTGTGTGCTCGGGAAAAGTACAGTCGGGGCCTGGCGGTTCGAGAACTGCCATGCTCCCATCATTAGTTACCCTGGGAGAGTAAAAAAGTGGAAGTGCTGTATTTTGACAGAGGGCTATCGAAACTGGAAGAAAGTACTTCAAAAGGAAGGCGGACTACGACGCCACTCCAACAGTGCGGCACGCAGGATGTCCCAAACATCATCGGCTTCCTTCAAGCAGATGAAGAAAAGTGGCGCGGCTAAATCAGTCGCCGTGTACCTCTGCCAGGCGTATTCAGCAAAGACGGGAGAATAGCCACTACATCTACACGATCGCTGACGTGCTTTGGTTTCCCGCGGTGCAGGGGACTGCATATAAAGAGCAGATGATGAGTCACGACAAGCGTGAGCGTGCTTATTTAGTATTGCGGAATGTAAACATGCCAGAATATTTTGCACGTGAAATGCTACATTAACCAGAGTTGTAGATGGGTTGTAAAATAATAAAATAAACTGAGCTGATTTCTATTAAAAACTCCCGAAGCGCCAAGTTATCGTCCCTGAATATTTGTTCTTTTAGTGGGATCGAAAGCCCATGCCTCCCCAAAAATGCCGTGCGCCTCCCCACTGCCCCCTCACTATGAAAAGCCTGGCGCCGTCCCTGCATGCATGCTGCAAATTGACTGCGGAAGCTCGCTATCAGCTCGCGCTCAGTAGTCGCGGCCGCACGTGGCCCCTAGTCTCATCAAGCTTCGGGGTGTTTGCCGCTTGGGGCGGGTCGGGGATCTACTAACGATGACGTCATGTGCAGGCCTTGTCTTCGAGGCAGTGGCGTAACAACCTGATTTTTGAGTGTGGGGGGGGGGGGGGGGGGGGGCAAACACCAGACCCCCCCCCTCCCCCCCCCAGGGCCGGTGGGCGGTGCTTTTGGTATCCCTTGGGCGCCGCCGGCCAGTGTTTGCCCTGCACAGTGGCGGCTGTTTCAGGGGAGGGGGGGGGGGGAACCCATGCCTCGCCCCCCCCCCCCCCCCCACCGCTGAGGACTGAAGGAACAAACGCCCCCCTTGCCCCCTTCCCCCCCCCCCCCCCCCCCCCCGGTTAATACGCCCATGCTTCGAGGTGGTATGGTCGTAGTCGGTTGCGAGTTTGAGAGCGGGGCTCGTTCACACACTTGCTAGCGGTTGGAATATAGAACGCCAAAGGTTGAGAACATGACGTCACGTGGATGAAAAGATAATCGAGGAAGAACAAAATTTCTCTACGAGCCGACATTCACCTAAGCCTAACAAACAAGAAATAATATTGTGAACGCTCGTGGTATTTATAACAGTGAAAACACTTGTCAGCAAGAAAAATAATTTTTGTTTCTTGCTGACAAGTTACCTTCATTGAACTGGATGCAACAGGCGGGTCTACAATGTAATATCTTGTTTTGACGCTGTAGCTTAGGTGGACGTCGGCTTAGAAAGAATTTTTGTTTTTCTTAGTTATCCTTTGATTCCGGTAACGTCATTTTCTCAAACATTCGCGTTCCATTCCAACTGCTATAGCGTCACATTCTCAACGAATTCGAGCTTTCTACAAATAAAAAATATGATTCTCTTTTCTTTTTTTTTTTTTGGGGGGGGGGGGGGGGGGGGGGGCGGGGGAAACTCTTTGTACCGTAACTCGTACAACGAATGTTTAGAGGGCGGTAGATAATTTAAAGAAATAGTGTGCCACACGTGTCTCCAGTGCAGAGGTAAAATTTGGCAAGCACAATACACGGCGTGCCGCGTGCAAGTGCAACACCGATGGCTGTCAAAAAACTGACATGTCGAAACTGGCACGTGTGTTGGGTTTCAACAGATGCTGTCAGCGTCTTCAGCTTGAGCATATGCACATCACATGCTCCAACAGTGTCTCCTATTGACTTTGAAATGTAAACAAAAAAAAAAAAGTAAGAGACTTAGGCGAGGTGGCGCAAGCTACAGCCCGTTACAAAGGGTACAGCCATTAAGATCCATCCATCTATCTATCCAAGTTAAATAATTAAATGTACTGACAAAGGGGGATCGTTTTTTGTTTTTTTTTAGTATGCAATGCGCAGATTTGTAAGGTACTCATTACAAGTAATCAAGTTACTTTTAACCGATTGCTTTTTGCAGTACGTTTATAATTGTTTAAATACATTTACGAGGAAGTAATCGCAATATTAATGTGATTAATTTTAGAAGTACTCAAATTACTTGTAACCGTTACTATAGTTTTCCGTACCCTTCCTGATATGGTGCCCTTAGTTTGTACATGTTCCCTTCCAAGGAATCCTCGAATCAAGACTCCGAAATTGATGGACAAAGAGGATATGCAGTTTGTCGTTAGGTGAATCTAATCCAATCTGTCGTTTTGAAATTCTGAAATAATCGGAAAAGTAAAGGTTAGTTTTT